GGTCGCCCCTCAGCTTCTCTTCTCTGAGCTCAATGGGCCAAGGGGCCTCAGCTGCTCCTCCTAAGTCCTGCCCTCAAACCCTTTTCCTATCCTGGACCCCTCCTCTGGACGCACTCGAGCCCTCTGATGTCCTTCATGAGGTGAGGTGCCCAAACTGCCCCCAGGACTTGCGATGAGGCTGCCCCAGAGCAGAGCAGAGCGGGACAGACCCCCCCTCATCCAGCCAGCGATGCTGGGCCCGGTGCCCCCCAGGACAGGGCTGGCGCTTGGGGCTGCCAGGGCACTGCTGGCTCCTGTTCCAGTTGCCCTTTAGCCCAAACCACCTGATCCCCTTCCCCAGAGCAGCTCTCCAGCCTCTTGGTCCTCCAGTTTGTACTTATAATTCACTTGTTAAGGCTATTCCTAACAGTTAAAAAATTAAGGTAGTATAATAAACTAATATTCCCAGAATACTTAAAACATTTATGCTATTTGTAAGAATAAATAACAAAGAACTCTATAGAAGTTGGCAAGTACTGCCACCATTTTATGGAGGGACAAGTAATAACCCATCTCTTTTTTCTGTAGTCCCAAAATGCAAATAAGCTGCACTATCAGAATTGTGAAGAACAAAGCCTAAATATTCACACTCTCCAGATCCCCAATCCTAAAACTTCTAGTCCACCTACCCCTCCTGAAAAGCATTTGTGCTCAGTCTGGGGCATTTGCTTCCTACCAGAAACATTCCTGCCTCATTGAACCAATCCTTCTCTTACCTTTAGCTAAAGATAAAGCTCAGTCACAACAGTTCAACTGGAAAAATACCACTGCCACTGCTCAACACAAAATGCCAAGCAAGCCAGTAACTTATTAGACACCCAAATTATTTGAAAAGTTTTAACAAGTGAATGGGGGCAGAGAGGGTTCCACAGGAAGCAGCTCCCAGAAGGGCAGAGAAAATGCTCCAGGACAATTCTGAGCAGGAGCACATGCTCAAGCCTGTGTGCTGAAGAATAAAAACATAAGAACATTTTCAGGTCAGTACTATGACTAAGTTTTACCACCTGGCTGTGAGGAAGGCCGAGGTGTTCGTGGCTGCAGCTCAGCACTAGCACCACCTGCCACCATAGAGGAGGGCACATTTCCAGTCTGGGACATCATGACAGCTGTAGCATTGCTCATTCTTATTAAACCTTAAAAAATAAACATAGAAATTATGAAGTCTTGCAGTTTTTCTGTAGAGAAGAATTTTAGATTTTTTTCTTTTAACAAAAAAAAAAAGTCAATAAAACATTTAGACTTCAAGAACTGTTTGTCTGAAATAACCTGAGGACAGACCTCTCTGTCGAAAAGCTCAGATTCTCTGATATCAAACAAACAAGTTCAGGTCATGCTGAAGAAGCTTTAACACCAAACCTTTAAAAAGGATATAAAAGGAAACACTACTGAAATAACGTGAGCCTGACTTGCCACTGAAGTCATCAAGTCACAAGACTGTATCAAAGTTATAGATGTAACTCAGATTTTTTGCAAAATCTGAAACTAGAAAGTAACTGAGATGTTGCAAGAGAGAAAAAATTTCAATGTTTCACTTCCACAGACAGCTATTTTATAAAATGATTGATATTGTTGCCCTGTTATTGCTGTTATATTTATACTGTTTGGCCTACAGACAGGAAATGAAGATCATGATTGACACATCAGAGAGTAGAGCCCTTCTTTAAATGTTTTACGTTCTTTGTTAAGCACAATGATTTCACTACCATTTAATCAGGTTTCTACAGAGTTGCAATGTTCTTTCCATTCCTGCTCATCAACAGCTACAAATGCATTTTACATAAACTGACCAAAAATGCTCCTGTTTTTTTTTTAATTGCTTTATATCCTAACTAAAATATTAATTAGCCCTATTAGTCACCTATTAAAATAATTTATACAGTAGCTTTCTTTGTAAAAACTCTTTGTAAAACCTGAATTCTGTAGTTAAAAATTCCTTATGCATATACAATGCTATAAAATGTGGAGTTCAGTGAAACTATATCTCTTCACAAAAATTCCTTCTCTATGACTGGATCTCAAAAGTTTATCAGAAAATAAAAAGAGAGAGTAGCAGTGACAGTGTCCTGTCCTTCCCATAATTCTAATGGATTTATTACTGTACACTGAATAAATGCTTATGCTCGTTTCCATGAAGGGAGCCGAACAGAACAGTGAGACTTTTGTGCACTTTCTCTACACTGGACTCATCTGCTTAACGGGCCCTGTGAACAAAACCACCAGCCAACCAAACCAACGAAACTCCAAACCACACCAAAAAAAAAAACCCAACAACCCCCTAAAAAAAAACAGTTGGCCCCACCAAAATCACTCCAATGTCTGTGGGACAAAATGCAGCCAACAATTTAGTTTACATAATGCAGGACATGGTTTGACAGCACAAAACAAGAACACAGATAAATTAAAATGGCAAGTAGAATTCTGCAGACAATAGTTGCTATAACCAGTGAAATGTCACGATTAGCTCAGTAACAAACTGCTTAGTGTATAAAGCTCCCCAGAAACACCCTGAGGGGTTTACCTTGCCCCCCTTGCATGGCAAAGCCCGTTTCCATCCGCACGGCGCTGCTCGCTCCCAGCGGCCCGTTGATCCGGACATCCTGGCTTCTGCCCTGAGACAGAGCCAAGTTGATGGCACCTTCCCCTGTAAGCAATGCACAGGTTGGGTGAGCAGAATGAGACAGAAAAGCAGAATACAGACATTTGCAGATGGCCATTTAAGAAATGCCAAGGATGGAAGAACAGACTTCACCTATATGTTAGGACATGCATCACACTGCCCTTCTGGATTTCAGTTTTAGGAAGAGCAAACGCCATGACAACCACCTGTCCTTGGTTTTTATTCCAAGGGTGCTCTTGGACAATTGTCCAGAATGGATATTTTAACAGTGAAATCCACTGAAAGCTTGTTTTAAAGAAAGCCTCATATGAAACAACAGGGAAAGAAAATCAGTGCACATTTTGCCAGCCAACACTCACAAAACCATTTTTCAGGTGATTTCCTGATGCCCAGAGGATTTTCAGCTTTCATTTTTATTATTATTAAATTTTTTTCTTGAAAAAATAAAAGTCTTGAGCTATCTTTTCACTGACACCAAAGGAGGAACTTGGAAGTTTTAAAACATTAACCAAGTACTCAAAATTGCTTGTTGAGTCTACTTGAATTTTAGCTTTGGAAGCAAATTTGTGTGAAATACCTTCAATCTGAACTGAGAGAATGCCCAGGTCTCGAAGCTGTTGGTTGTTATTCTGAGCCAGGATTCGCAGCCGCTCGGCAGCTTCCCGGGGAATATTGAAGGTGACACGGACGCTGTTCCAAGGCTCTATTTTTTGCACTTTTAACTTGTTGGATTCTTAACAGAAAAACAAACAGGGTCAGTGCAAAGGCAGTTTTCAAATACATATGATGAAATAACTTGCCAGGAGAGATGAAAAGACTGAAACACTGGCTTTGAAACTTGCTAATGGTTAGTCTCAGGCAGAGGAGATTTCTCCTGCACAGATACACGTGACCAATGCTGACAAAACACTTCAGGGATTCTCTAAATATGAGCAATAAAAAAACTAACCAAATAATACCCAATGCAATAGCCAACATAATCACTTGGTAGTATTACTCAAAAATTGAAATATTCCGTGGATAAACTAGTTTGGAAAGATGAGAAAATATCCACTAAAACAGATTTCATATAATTACATGTATTAGGTTTGGGTTGGAAGGGACCTTAAAGCTCATCTTGTCCCACCCCCTGCCATGGGCAGGGACACCTTCCACCAGCCCAGGTTGCTCCAAGCCCCATCCAACCTGGCCTTGGACACTTCCAGGGATGGGGCAGCCACAGCTGCTCTGGGCAACCTGTGCCAGGGCCTGCCCACCCTCACAGGGAGGAATTTATTCCCAATATCCCATCTCCCCCTGCCCTCTGGCAGTGGGAAAGCCACTCCCCCTTGTCCTGTCCCTCCATGCCTTGTCCCCAGTCCCTCTCCAGCTCTCCTGGAGCCCCTTTAGGCACTGGAAGGGGCTCTCAGGTCTCCTGGAGCCTTCTTTTCTCCCAGCTCTCCCAGCCTGGCTCCAGAGCAGAGGGGCTCCATCCCAGTGATACAGGAAATCTGTTCATGAACCAGATGGATGTGGGGAAAAAACTGACTACAGGATCCTTGAAATATTTGCTCTACAAATGCTTGTGCAACCATCTTTTTTCTTTTTTTTCACAAGACCACTGCCAACAGAGTCCTATCAGTATTTCATTAATTTCTACCATATTATTTAGTTTTCTGAGTATATTAAATCCACTGCCAAAAAGCATATTAAAATCATGTAAAATATGTAGTTACAGTTTTTCTGAAAACCTCTTCTACATACCAGTTTCTACATAGGCCAGTAATTTTCAAAGTAACAGCAAAAGGGCTGGGCAGTCACGTTGGATGTATTATCCAAAGTGATACCCACCCTCGATTGCTACAAAATGCATTTAAGGAAAATTAAAATATACTCCTAATAAAGGATTATAAGCTTCCAGTTTCAAGTTTTCTGAAAAGAAAGCCCCTCTGAAAACCAAAAGCATTGGCCAAATTTTCATCTGCCAGTTCTTCCACTGTAACATCAGATTTACTAAAAGTTTGCTGACACCTTTGGATTCTAAAGAACATGTTGGTTAAGAATGCCAAAACCTCATTCCTATTTAGAAGTCTCTTGATCTTCACGAATTCACCAAGCCCTTCTGCTGCTACAGTAATGGAATTATTAAATTCTTCCTCGTTCTACCTTATAAACCTGGTTTTGACTGGAAACATGACAGGAAGAGTTTTTAAATCCCCTTTTGTGGAGGTTTGAACAATCCTGTATTTACTGTTATTAATGTTCCAATATTTTACATACAAAAAGGGCATTGTCAGTTTTGGTATTTCTTTGTACCCTAGTTTCTCATTTTTGAAACACTGCATCTGCCTAGACTATCCCCATGTTAGTTACTAAATCCACATTCAGAATATCCTGTTTTGCTCTGAATTAGTTTAAATCACTTGTCACATGGGTAATTTTCAAATTAATTTGACATTGATTTTAAACATTTCCTTTCTCAGCTGAGGTCTGACTCATGTTTATTAATCCTGGCACTAATATTTATAACAAACTCAGCACACAACAGCAACTCTGTGCAGCTACCGATTAAAGTAATTTACATTCAAAAAACTGCACCATTCATCTACAGTATTAACACACATCCCTTCACAACAGTAACTATCTCTTAGCTTATATCTACTTCCAATTGTTTGAAAGATACAGCTCAAAACAGTGGAATTTCTTCACAGTATTTTTATCTTATCCCAGCTTTTCCCGAGCAACAACAGCAAGGACCCCACAACTGCTGCCAGCTGACTGTATGGACAAAATGGAAAGAACAAAGTGACAAAGAAATTGAGTTTGGATATTCAGAAGTAATGGGTATTTTTCTGAAAAGGTATTTGACACTGTTGAAAACAAGACTACCTGACTGAGCAGCTATCAGTAGTCAGCTTACAGCCCTTTGCAAAGATGCTCAGACAGATGTCTTTTGCCAGATCTAGATGTGCTGGTAAAAGATGTCCCAAAAAGCCTGTTATTACTAACTTGCTACCAAGCTGATTGCAGAGCTGGGGGGTACACAGGGGTATGTGAGAGCACTGCATGTCCCCTATCAGGAAAAAATCAGTCAGGTAGGGTAGGTCAGGGTAGCAGCAAAAGGGCACTTATGTCCTCAACCAACTCAGGTACTTGAGAGTGAACCCATTCTCAGATGAACTGCAGTGGTTTAAATTAGATGGTTTGGGCAGTAAAACACTGCATGGACAAGTCTGGTTTCCTTTTCATATAACACAGCCATGTGTAATGGAAGGATATGAAAGAGAACAAACCCAAGTAAAATACAGGAACTGAAGAGGAATGAATGAACTCACTAACCAGACCAGTTTTGAACAACAAAACAACTGCAGACACTTGTAGTTTGCACTTCTGAAAAGAACAACTCCCAAATTCACTAAGAATAATCCCAACAAATCTTATTACAAACTAAGTAACTCCAACCCAATATAATCTATTTATTTGGGCAAGCACCATGACTCCATAAATAAGTATTTTGAGGACAGCTGGAAGATGACAAGAAGGTACATTACCCATGTGTAAAAGGCCAGGCACATTCTCCAGAATGGTATCCAGCTTCTGCTCAAAGTCTCTGTCACCTATATTTCCTTTGAAAGCTACAAAGATCGTGGAATCCCCAGGAGTAGCCTCCTGTTTCAATTCATCTTCCTCCAGTCCTGAATCAAAATCCACCTCTAAGTCTTCCATAGCTGAGGAGTACAAGGAGGCATATGTATTTTTTAAGTTAGGCAGATCATCCAAAACCATTGTTCCAACAATGGGAGTCCGTCAGATGTCAACATGATGCTTGGCAAGGAAAAAAAGAATTATAATAAGTATAATAATAATTGTGTGAAGACATTAACAACTGCTTTCAACGGCACACACAACCACTGACAGAAAAACCTACCAGGTGACCCCATGCTGGGCTCTCTGAGACAAACTGAGCGAGGTTGAAAATGGTGGCCATGGCAGCATCCAAACTGTTCCTCCACAGGAACGACGAGAAGTGTTTCCTGGCAGAATCCTGCTGCACGTGACTTGAGACGTATTCCAGTTGATCTAAATAACAGTCAGGAAGAAAGGACGGTAAAGGAAAAAACAAACAAACAAACCAACAAAAAAAGGAATTCCATTTCTCCCCATTTCACAGAGAGGACAAACAAGCACCCAGTACCAATGCTGCAGTGCCCAACTGCCTGGGAACAGCAACACTCCCTGCAACCGTTTAATTATAAAAACACAGGAAGAATCACCGAATTTAGAGACTGCAGGTGCAGTAAGTGCAAAGTTGTAGGACAGTCACAGCACATTTTACCAAGAGAAGTGTACCATTTCACAAATACTTCAGTCACACTCAGAGAAATCTCAGGCACACTATGCCTACTTTTTAAAAGTTTGTAAAGAGTTAGGTATTTTCAGCTGCTTTTGCACATTACGACCTGAAATCTGCTCCCCCTGTGGCAGAACAGAACTATCCCATGCCCCCATATCAGGCTTGGATAAATTCAGTAAGTCCCACACCTGATGGTTTTTACTTAATAAAATGTCTAGACCTTGCAATAAATTTTGACATTATGATAGGAAACTAAGCTGTTACGTGTACAGAAGTACAATTATGGTAAGTTATCCCTAAACCTACAGCGAACACCACTAATGTTTAGTTAAGATACACATTTCCTCATTCCATCACACGCCATTCTAAGGGCTATGGTACTTCCTTTTCCAGGTGAGACATCTGCTCTAACACTCAACACTCTGCAGGTACTGCTAAAAGATTGAAACCACCTACACCAACAGCCAAAGCTGATGTCAAATCCAAAAAAAGGGACCCGCTCCTGACCACCACTGTCAAAACTGAACCCACTCACCAGCCAGGACTGTGAAAACCTCATAATTCCAAAGCTGTGGGTACTCAGCATAACCCACCCACGAGGTTTAGTCTGGAATAACATACCTTGAATAGGATACAGATTGGGGTTTTGGCAGAGGTTCAGGTTCCCAACGTAAATTAAAACCACAGCTTTGAGATTAAAGGTGAGATGCAGATGCTGACAGCCTTTTCTAATAAAAATATCTAACAATGCTAGACAAGCTCAGATTCAGCACTATGCTGTTTGCACACGCACATAATACGGCTGAAGGGACAATATTAAAAAAATAAAAATCAAGGACTTGGAAGCCACAAAATCCCCTCATCTTTTGGTCAAGGTTCTCACTGTGATTTTTCTCCCTTGCAACCCTCTTTACACCAGGCAGGCCAACAGCACTAAGGAATGATCCCCTATTTTACACAGAGTTATCCTCTCATCCTGCAGCACCAGCCCTGATCCTCACAGGACTCAAACCTCAGATTAAAAACAAGGCTAATTTTTTGTCACAAGCTCTTTTGCAATCCTGTAACAGAAATTAAATTAAAATGTTCACTGGTCTATTTTCATACTGCTTTCATATACTATTATTCTCGTGGAAATTTTAAAGATGGGCAAGAGAGACATAAATTTAAAAAATTCATTATCAGGCAGACAATTTTTTTTTCCCAGACTCCTTTCTGTCAGCTCTGTATCTAAATTACAGCTCTGAGTGTCTGCCACCTCCATTAGGTCACACCCTCAGTTTCATGTCAGGTGCCCAGAAAATGAGAATCACAATTAAAAGGAATCTGTGAAAAGCTATTTCAATTGATTTTAACACATAATTTCTTGAACAGGAAACTTCCTTATCCAAGCTGGCTTTGCACCAAGCAGGAGAGCATTTCTCCTTCTGCCTTCCTACACCTTTCATTCCACATCCACTGACTCCAGGGAGAGAGGAGCTGGGAATCCTAAACAAGCAGCCTTTTAATGACCAAGCAGAGCCATTCTGTGCAAGGAATGCATCCTGTGAAATACAAGCACTCTGTTTTTCAGAAAACTGCATAGAACGTTACTCATCTGAAAATGTGGAGTAAGTTTTTCAGGGAGAGAAATCTCAGCTCAATATACAGGCTCTTTTGTGCTGAAAAAGCACAATTATGTGGAGGTGACAGGATGTTGCACCTGCAGCAAGAAATATGAGTACATCTGACAATCCCTAATACCAAAGAAATAAAGAGTTTATCTACAAGAACATAAACATTTCCAATCTTTTTTTTTTTTGAATGGAAGTGTCTGAAGTCTCCATCTTGTCTGTGAAAGAGCAGAAGACTCCCAGACTGCTTAAATCATGGCTTTACAGAATGCATGAAAATGCTGCAGCTTAGACCAGATTTCATCAACCTCACCTCAACGTACCAAAATCTGACTGGACGTGTTGAAATTATGGTCCTTCATAAACACTATTAGAATAGAGTTTGCCAAATCTCCAAGGACCACAGGCTTTGTTTCATGGACTCAGAGAATCACAGGACTGCAGGGATATCGTGAGTTAAGGAAACAAACCAAGCCTGAGCTTTAAATTTTACCTTCTGGATCAGAACATGTAGCTATAGCTCCTCTGGCATTTTTTCCTTCACATTACGCTCCTCAAGGATCTCTGCTACATCCATCTGCCCTCTCTTCCTCTCAAACACATGAATTTAGTCCGTTCCTATATTCAGGTATCATTTATCTCAAGTGTGACAGGAGAAAGCAATGATTTTCAACATCTTCAGGCAGCACACGGTACAACATCCATCTCAGAGCAAATGAATCCCAGCTGCACCCCTTGTCCTAACAAATTCTGTAATCTCCTGGTTATAGTTGACTTCCATAAATCCTGAGCCAGCACGTGATCATAATTAGCGTGTACCTTCCCTCAACACTTTTCCACATACATAAAAAAAGCTTTCAGCATGAGCACACCCAGGTAAAACTCTGGTCATTCAACAGTCCCTGTAAACTAAAACTCCCAGGGGGTTATGGAGGGTCTCTGATGAGTAAGAACCACACCTGAACTGATCTGCATCACCACAGCACACTTCAGGAACTCAAGCATTCACGCTCACACGGCAGCACAAAAACGTCTCAGACCATCATCCTCCTTCAGAGAGCACACTTGGCCTCCTTCCTGTCCCTGCACCTGCCCTTTTACAGTTTCCAAACTAGCATTTCTCATTATACAATTGTTTCTAGAAACTCAGAGCAAGTCCAGTGCTACCACATGGCAACCATCTACTCAGGAACCTGGCCTGGGACCAGCTACTGCAGCATAACAAGTGTGATGGCACTTATTATGAAGTTGGTCTTGTTCAGTACAGCCTAAATATTAAAAATATCTAACTGAAGTAAGAGAGGTGGGGATAAACAGCCAAATAACAGACAAATAGCCAAAATGCACCTGCAGTATCCTTTGAGGTGGGGGTGGCCCATGAAGACCAGAGTGCCCAAGGATGCAGGGCACACCTTGGGCTGCTGGAGCCTGGAGCTCCCAGGTACTCAGCATATGGATAAAACAACTGACCCACTAAAACCTGCAAAACGGAGACTCTCCAGAGGAAGAATTCCTGTAGGATACAGAGGTGCCACAGTCAGATCCTGGGCTGATGGACAGCTGGGTCCCATGCACACCACAGGAAGCCCTGAAGGCAGTTTGTCCCCCACCACCAGTCTGATATCAACAGGCCACCTGCACAACAATCCCAGCACACATGGCTGGGCAAGGCCTGGAAAATCCCATCCAGTCCCTGGGAGAGATGGGATTAGAGGGAAATCTGAAACAGCCCGTTGTCACTAACTGGGGAGCGGCTGAGCACTGGAAAGCCAGGAGGCTCTGGAGTGCCAGGACCACCAGATGGAAGTGCTGGTCTCTGGAGTGAAAAAAACAACAAAACCCCCCCAAAAAACCCACAAACAACTGATATATTGGTATTCTTATCCCAAGATTCACTCAAATTATCCAAACTTACGTCAATTTGTGTCCTAAACAGAACTTGAAATCTCTTGCCTTGATTTCTCCTCCATATTGCACTACACAAAGCACACAAACCAAACTAACTTTCTCAGATGACCTGTCCCGCAGTCTATTGATTTACAAGCTGTTTATACGTATTCAAAATAAACACTTTCACAACTGATGTCATACCAGAACATGCACTCTTTCAAAAAAAATACATGGGGGAGCCCAATTAAATAAAAAGTACTAAAATCCTGCTCTTTGCTCCTGACAGTACTTTTCCAAGAGACTGGGAAAGGTGAGAGCAGAAGGAAGGATGGACTAAAGCCCTTCAGCAGCAGATGGTACAAGTTAGCACTGAACAGGGCCCTCATCCCCACAATGACCATTATTTAAAGCTGCAACAAGGAAGAGGAAGAAATGAGAACCCAGAACTGACAGTGAGAAGAAGTCTTGGATAGCAGTAGCAAAAAAACCTCCGAAGGATATTTGCTTCTGCCTTCACTTGAAAAGGGTTTTCACACAACTTACTAGGAAAAAAAAATATCAGGAAAACAGCATGTGTTTGATCATACACTTGGGTGTTTTATGGTTCCCTTGTTTTAGGTGCCACTGGGAAAAATATGTAAAGGTTTTCATGATGGGGGCAAAGGAGGTTCAGCATTGCCAGAATATTGCTGAGAGGATGGCTTTCAATCCATAACATGTACTTACACAGTCACACAGGCTATGTTTAAAGTATCTATAAAACCCAGAAACACTGATCATAACACTGTTTCTATTGGAGATTTGTCCACATTATCCTCCAACAACTGTTTCATTTGTTGCCAGCATAGTGATCTGTTAAACTGTTGAATCTGAACAAGGAATAAACCTAGATACCCACAACCATTCCATGACACAAAGATTAAAATGACATAATTGTTTCTGGCAGAGATAGACTTCTAAACAAAATAAAAAGACTTCTAAACAAATTCTAGGCAAATGTCATTTTGTCACACAAGGAGATTAAATAAGGCTAAGAATCACTGGTATAATATCAAAGAATACCTACAAATAAATTAATAAAAATAATTAAACATGCAGTAAAATTTCCTCTGAAACAACTTAGCCAGGGGTAGTTCCAGTAATTTGACTTTCAAACTTCGGTAATAAAGAGGGATAACACCACAAATGCACCTCAACTGTTCTCTTTGGGAGGAAGGTCTGGGAACAGCCACAAATCTGATGGCAAATGTCCCAACCCTGCGTGGCAGACTGGGAAGTCAGCTCTGGAAGCAGCTCAGCCCTGCAGTGAAGACAAGGGCCCAACAGTGGCACAGGTGAGGGAGAATGTATAACAACAAGAAGTATTCAGATGCATCACATGCTTATTTTACCTACCAAAACAAATTCCACAACTTTAGTATTTTGTGGTGTGAAACAGGTCTTCAGGTAATTCCAGACTGGCAAACATGGTTAAACAGCAACTCCCAAAAATGCAATCCTGAAAGAAAACCATCACGTTTCATCAGACAATGATGCAAAACAACAAAAATACTAAATATAATGGTGAATACCTCCATTTTTATATGTAGTTTTGCACCAAATCAATCTCTCTCCTTAGTAATGTAAAAAGCACATGTTACTATGTTTGGATAGTAACACCAAAACTTGAGGATCTCAAAAACTCAGCCTTTCATTATAGGCAGAAAATGGAATACTCCCTTTGCCTGGAAATAACATTTTATTATATGAAACAGGGCAAGTTTTATCTAGAACAATGTACTTATTTCTTAAGGCAAACACATCTAGATTAAACAATCTTCAGAAAAGAGAAACCAGCCCAAACAGGACGCCCCTGAGCTCACCCTGAGCAGGTGTCTGAAGCGGCTCAGGATAAGCTCATTGCAGAAGCACCTTCTGAGCCCACCCGACCACCTCAGACAGACACTGTCAGTGCAGCTGAGTCCATCCCTGGAACCTGCTCCTGGTCAGGGGCTCCTCCAGCTGCACTCGAGCCTCCCCAGGGAATAACAGCAGTAAAGCCCACGGCTCCAGCGACAACAAACCCCCGCCCCTCACACCGACAGGGTCTGTAGGGCCAGCCCCGTGCTGGTTTGCAAGCACATTTTCTGCTTCCGTGCCTGCCTGCACATCAGTGGGGAAGGGGACGGCCCAAAAACAAACAGGGGAGGCAGAAAAGGGGAAACTCATAAAGACAAAGGAGAAATTTGCCACCTTCTATCCAGACAAGAAAGCAAAATTGCTTTAAAAGCCCTATTGTGCCATAGCCTTTGCACTTCCGCCAACCCAGCAACTTGGAGGGAAGGGAAGAGGATTTACATTAAATGAGATCATATATGCTTTGCAGCACTTTTAATAGTCATCTAACACTTTGGAACCTCTGGTATCTTGTACTTCTAAATAATCACTGTAGTTCAAGAACTATAGCATCAAGTTGAAGATCCAAGTGGCCAAATCACAACCTGTTTCCAGCTGCCCAAACACCATGACCAGACACCAAGCTGATGAGCAAAACCAAAATCTGAAACAGGAAATTTTAATATCATTTGCTGTGTAATCCAAAACTAAAAAAACTTTTCATGTTCTATAGCAGATACTCCATCGGTTCTATTTTTCACCCTTTTTATAAAACAATGTTCACAGACTATTTGAGATGGCCTAAAATTGAGTCACATAACTAACTGGTTGGTTAGCTCCAAAGCCATGCCAAGACAGGAAAGGTCAGGCTTCATAAAAGCTGTTTTTAAGGAGGCCTCTGAGGTGCAGCAGCCAGTCCCCACGCAGAGCACCCTCATCTTAGGGTGAGGGTGACATTTGGCTGAAAGGAGGGAAGAAAAATCATCTGAACTCCTTGGTACAAGGAACTGAGGGGCTTCTGTTCCTCCAGTTCTCCCTTCTGACTCATTACAGCAGGAAGATATGAGATGCTCTGTGGACACCCAACCGCTCCAGAGAAGAGGGACTGGGAGAGACCAACTGCCCTAGCAAGATCCAGGGAGAAACTGAGGATGATCAGCCTGGGCTATGGGAAGAAAAACATTTAACTGCTGCTGTCTCCATTCCCACTGTGCACTTGGGATGAGACCAAATTTGGTAAAGGAAAACACCCAATCAATACTGGATCATTAATTCCAGCTTTCATTACATTAAGTTACCTGACTTAACAGTAAGAGACCTGGAGACTGAGTGCACACCTTAGCAGATCCCAAGGAATCCATAACAACAGTCCTTTGAAGCATTCCAGTTACAGAAAGACTTTTGTTTAGCGTTAATGATTTCCCAAACACCAAGAAAACAAAACATGTTAGTCTCCAGGAAGGCAGGCTTCATTCACTCACGCTGACACACTACTGCACACCCGTAGCCCTCAAGCATAAATCATCTAAAGCCAGATGTTTCCCACAAGGAGAAAATTACAGCTTGTTATAACATTTATCACCTTTTGCAGTGATATCCTGATGCACTCTGACAGCAGGTTTAATGAAACATCCGTTTGTTAAAGTTTCATGAGGTTTGTTGAAAGCCCACGACTCATGCCAAGCCGTGATGGACACGTCTCAGCTGAGATACCGGTTTTTCTTCCAACAGAATTTGACTGCTGAGACCCTCAGGACTGCTTTCAAAAGCAGGATGATAACTCCAGAACAAGCCTCAAATACAGCTAATTTAGCCACATAGAAATTCCCACTTTGAGCAGCCAGGATATCAAACAAGGCAGCTGCCAGTCTTTTCCTAAGGCACAAGTGGGAATCAGCTATTCTCTTGGAAGCTGTAGTCTACACAGCATATTTGGTCAATTAATTCCCATTAGTGGAGTTACTAATTTCTCATATTAAAGGATATTTCCATTTGGAAGAAACACACCATCACTTGCACCAGATGCAGCTTTCCACAAAGATCCATCACCACTATCAGCACACAAAATGAGATGATAATTAAAATCAGGAGTATCTTGACAAGACTGTATTTTATCCTGCCTTCCAAAGTTATGAAAAATGTCTTTTTAAAGCACCAATCTGTTCACTTTTTATTTAAAGTTGAATTTAACCTTTCTGGGCTGACACACCCCATAGGTGCTCCTTTATCACCAAATTCTCGCTGAACTCCATAAACACCAATACAACCAGCCCATCACCAGTACTGGACTAAGGTTTGACTGAAAACTGCACCTCCTGTTTACTGCAACATTATTCCTTCTTACATCTAATAAATGCCTGGGAAATCTCACTGAAGTTTCTAAAATTCTGAAATTATGTAAAGGATGAAGAAAGGATTGAAGCTAAAACAAAGAGTTTAAACATAATTCCTTTGATATGAGACACTCAATACCAAGGAGACATTTCCCTTCCAAAAATCTAATCTTCTTATAACAGAAGCAGGTATAGCTTTGGTTAAAGTCAAGATTGTGATGAAAGTTTCCTGACTGTATAAAAACTTGCAGTTTATTTTGTGCTGCTCTGGGCTTTTGGAGAAATCAAATTTCAAGAGTGCTGTTTATTGTCACTGAATGGCCAGTCTCTTCGCGAACGAAGAACCGGGGAAGGTCTTTCCACCTTCCAGCCTGCGCATTGGATTTTTTAGGTGAGACACAGTGTGCGCGGAACTGAGCCCACCCTTTAATCCTGAGGTTTATCTGCCGGGGCCAAGCACGCTTGGACGGTGGCAGCGAGGTCCTCAGGACTTAGATGGATTGCCTTACAGGGCTAGCGAGCTCCATCTGCCCGGGGAGTGTCCTAACCGGGAATCGAACCCAGATCTCAGCGTTGACAACGCTGTGGTTTAGCCACTGCACCACCAGGGTCACTACTGCTATTAAGAACCACATAATCAGCTTCCAGTGAAACGCAGATACAACAGAACTGGAGAGCAGGGATGGGAAGAGCACTCCCAAAATACCCTTCAAAGGAACACTGGCCTTTAAGGTCCCTTCCAACCCAAACCATTCTGGGATGCTATGAATGCAGAACAAAGAGGCTTAACTCAGGCTCTGTGAGCACCACACAGAAATCACGATGAGAAACACAATCTCACCCCAGCTGCATTGTCTTGGTAGGTCATTTTATTTTTAAAAGAATAAAAATTGTAAAATTAAAATGATTTGCATAGGACTTGGAGAATTCAATAGCATCCATCTCTTGGTGGGAATAACTAGGTGATTCCCCTTCATGTATCAAAACTAAAGCTTGGGCTTTAGTAACTCATATGTAACTCGGCATAGGCAACTCTCCTATCCCAAATTATAAGTTTACACAAAGACAAATTTACTCAGACAAGGCATAATTCATCTCCTCTACTTTTCCATTTTCAAACAAATCCAGTCCAAACCCCTATGCTGGGCTATGCTTCAGGACACTCATTCAAGCTGCAGAAACAGGCAACTGGCCTCTCAGTTCCAGGAAGATGATGGCTCTCACAAGCTGGGGAGCCCCCTGCATGCCTCCCTCCTTCACTCCAGCTCCCAAACCAGCAGCACTGTGACACACACTGCTTGCCTTTCTTTTTCCCCAAGTGCATAAAAAGGGTTATTTACTATGTCACAACCTCAGAGTTGCCACACATACATGACAAATTCAGTCCTTGTTTCTATTTTCAATTATGACAACTGCAATTTTTGAGGTGCCAGTCAGCTAGATGTTCCACTGGATGCCCAATGCCCAATGGACTGAGAAAAATCCCCAGCTTCTGGACCTCTGGAAGACTATCCTTCCGTGCAATCCAAAGATTAGAATAATGTTCAACTCCAGCAGCATCAGTCTAAATAGCCAGGACACAATCTGAGTTTCTTTCATCATCTCGATACAAACCCCCAGCTCTCCATGTGGACAACTTAGGACCACTCTGACCATGTGGCTGAAACGCCCACCTATCTGCAATAGGTGGCTTCTGCTGAAGAACATCAGTGACCCACTCTGGAGGAGACAGCAGAGTCTGTAACAGTGTCAAGACAGGACACAAAATATCCACGGCTCCAGGAAAGCAAAGGTGAGTTGCTCCTCTGGCTGGTGGAAATGGAGAGGCTCACCTGGAGATGGAAAACCCTCACCTAGAGCCTGGAAAAGCATCTTCCCTGCCTCAGCTCTGTGTCATCTGGGATTATTTCTCCTTCCACTGCCGGCCCTTACCTTTTTCCAGCCCTACACATTCTCTCTCATCTGTTTTGCTGTAGCTGCACGCCAAGGAAAAAGTTTATGCTTGAACCCAGTTTTTGCAGCACCCAGGATGCTGCTCAGTGCTCTGCACACCACCAGCCTCCTGCTCCCTCGCACCCTCCCTGCACCGCAGCGTTTGTGTTTCTCAACAGAGACCATGTGATGTGGAAACAGACACCCCCATTTCACCATTCCCAAAGCAATCAAACTGTTACAGCCACCTTAACTCCTCCAAGCAAGCCTTTGCCACTGGTAAACCTGTTAAATTCAGTGGGTCTGTGTAACTGGGTTGTAACTCCAGCTTCCACACAAAAGCAATCACTGTGGTATTAGAAAATCAAAATATACTGTAACTGTTTAAAGGTTTAGTTATCATGTTGAAACATTTAACATCTCCCCCAAAGGCAGGAACCTTTGTCAGGATCATACTCAAACAGTACAAAGAGCGGCATCACAGCTATGGAGCAGAATTTACCTCCACACCCTGTATTTTCTTAAGCCGCTGAAAAACCTGGAGATGCACAGGTGGAGCTGGAGTGCTCCGGCTTCCCTGCACACAGTTGTTTCTCATTTTAAGGAAGCACCTATTTTTTCACTAGAAAAGTGTAAAATCACTGTATCATTTGGAAGCCTGTTGTAAAAAACTCCTCCCTCCAAGTCCTACAGAAGAACAGCCTTTCCAGAGACACCGGCTGGAGAGCACTGCCGGGAAATTCTCCAGCCAAAATCCAAACAGAATGTCCTTCTGTGGGTTTAAAACACTAAAGTGTCATTTCTCAACAGAAGACAGGTCTGAGTGCAGCCTCCCCAGTTCTGATCTCATTTTTTCTCACGGGAGAGCCTGGGCACAGCATTACTGTGAAACATTTCCTCGTAAAGCCGGTTAACTTTCCAGGGAGGCCACATGGCTCAGTGGATATTTAAAGAGCACACAAATCCCTAGCAGACACCTTGATGGCTTGTGCAGGCACTTCATGCAGAGCCCAGGCTGGTAGATCTGGCCATTGTGAAAATGTGCCTTGAGACCTTTGTTTCTTTCTCCACAAGATGCATAGAAAAGCTGGGGACTGTTTGCTGTAACTGGAAAAGAGCAGCTAAATCCAAAAGCTGTGGTTATTACACTTGGTAACCTTTTGGAAAATGCCAGATTTGTTCTCTCTCAGATTTGTTTTCACACACACATGCATAAATACATATATATATATATAATGGAAATACTGAAAAGTAGTTTAGCTAAGGAACAAGACAGAAAGGCTAAAATGCACAATAATTATAAACCCAACAAGAGGCATTGTCTTTTCTGTAATAAAATGCCAGCGAGAATGGTTTTAGTAAGGTTTTCAATCAGAGGAATGAGCACAAATGTGTCTACCAGGAGGCTGAGGAGTCATGGAAAGACAAAGCTCATGAAGCTCCAACCCGCTGCCAGCTTCCAGACCCACAGAAAAGCTCTCTCCTTCCATTCCCCAAAGCAGTTGGAAGAAATCTGATCATTCTGAGATCTTCTATAGAAATGCGGACACCAAACGGGGGATGAGTGAAGAGTGTTTCTCTGACTGTTACAAGAGGTACCGAGGAATTCGAACAAAAGCGAAACGTCAACGCGGCCCGGCTGACATGGCACAAAGGCCGGGGCTGAGGGACCGGCACCGGGACAGCTGCCGGGGCTGACAGCGCTGCCGGCTCGGACACGCTCCGTCCCGGGGCCGGCGGGCCGGGCCGAGCCCGCGGGCTCCGAGCGCCGGCGGAGCGGGGCCGGCCCAGCCCCGGCCCCAGCGGGGCGGGCTGCAGGCCCCGGGCCGGGCCCGGCTGACAGGCTCCTGCCGAACGCCCCGGCACACGCGGCACACGCGGCACCCAGGCCCGGCGCTGCACGGCGGTGTCGCGGGCCCCGCACCGCTCCGCGCCCCTTCGGGCACCGCTCCGCGCCCCTTCGGCCGCCGCCGCGCCGCGGGCTCGGCCTGCGCCGCACCCGGGCAGGGCCGGGCCGGTCCCGGCCCCACCGCCCCCGCCCCGCCGGCCCCGCGCCCCCCCCCGCGCCCCCCGCGCCGCGACCCCCGCCCCGCCCTCCCCTCACCTGGGCCCGCCACCGCCGCCGGGGGCGCGCGCGGGGCCGCGGGGGCGCGCGGGGCGGGGGTCGCGCGCGGCCCGGGACTCCAGCGCCGCTCCGCCGCCTGCGCCGCGCACGTGACCCGCGCGCCTGCGCCCCAGCGCGCGGGGCCCGGGGTGGGGGGGGGGCCTGAGGGGACCCCCGATAGCACCGGGACCGCCCCGAGGGGACCCCTCGATAGCACCACCGGGACCGGCACCGCTCCGAGGGGACCCCCCGATAGCACCACCGGGACCGCCCCGAGGGGACCCCTCGATAGCACCACCGGGTCCGGCACCGCTCCGAGGGGACCCCCCGATAGCACCGACACCGCCCCGAGGGGACCCCCCGATAGCACCACCGGGACCGGCACCGCTCCGAGGGGACCCCCCGATAGCACCACCGGGACCGGCACCGCTCCGAGGGGACCCCCCGATAGCACCACCGGCACCGCTCCGAGGGGACCCCCCGATAGCACCGACACCGCTCCGAGGGGACCCCCCGATAGCACCGGGACCGCTCCGAGGGGACCCCCCGATAGCACCACCGGGACCGCTCCGAGGGGACCCCCCGATAGCACCACCGGGTCCGGCACCGCTCCGAGGGGACCCCCCGATAACACCGACACCGCTCCGAGGGGACCCCCGATAGCACCGACACCGCTCCGAGGGGACCCCCCGATAGCACCGACACCGCTCCGAGGGGACCCCCGATACCGGCACCGGCACCGCCGGGACGGGCCCCAGGGGATCCCCGGCACCACCACCGAGATCGGCACCGGGACCCGCCGAGGGGACCCCCGGCACCGGCACCGCGCGCACCCCGGGAGAGCCCCCGGGGCCGGTGTCCCTCGCGAGGGGACCGGGGGCGGCGGCTGCTTCTGGGAACAGAGACAATCTTTCCAGGGTGAGGTTTAAGGAAAAATAATAGTTAAGGCTCTTATAGGAAATTTCCAGGAAATTAGGTTTTTAATTTGAAGGAATTTTAGTTCAGAGCATTTCATCCCAAGGTTTCACACTCTGTGAATATCAGTGAAATATACTTTCATTTTACCACGGGGAGATGGGGAAAAAGTCAGAGGGACCTGGTACGAACTCAGCAAAGGCCAAAAAGCTGAATTTTAATTAAAAGTCCATTTTTCTGATTAGTGAACAGGCCCAAGGGCCTGCAGTCCCCAGTGGGTGATGGTCGATCCCTACAAAGGCCCCTCAGCACACAGGCGTTCACAGCTGAGGGGATCCCCACAGGACACACGGCCCCCTGCTTTCTCTCATCCTACAACCTTTATTATGAGAAATGATCAACTAATATAAAAAGAAGTGTCTGGTTTGCTGCCTGTCATTGCTGGGAGCAGAGAGCTGTCGCCTGGCTCTGGGGAAGAAATGAAACACGTGGCAGTTCCTGTTACAGGGTAGGAAAACAATCAAAAGTCCTTTATGGGAAAAATAAAGACTTTGGACTTGCAAAACTGTGTATGGTTCAGTAACTTCAGCAGGCTTGAGAGGGGGTTTCAGGAGAGGGGAGCCAGCCTTCTCAGTCTCCCTGACCTTGGCTTCACGTGGAATACTGACAGATAAATGAAGTGAAAAAAGGAAAATGCCTTTTTTTTTTTTTTTATTTTGCAAAACCTTCTAGATACAACAAATCCACATCTCACTGGGCACTATAACTTGCAGCGCAGAAAAAACCCACGCTTTTTATCAATTCACATATAAATGCGTTCCATAAAAACCACCAAAACTAAATAAGTACCATCACGGTTAGTATAGGACTTATCTTAGTAATTAAATCTGGTTGGTGTGTGCAGAGCTGCAGGCAGATTGCCTATTTCCTTCCCGTGTGCAGCTCTAAAGCTCCCTGCTGTTAGACAGAGAGGAATCCTTTACTCAAGAATTGTTCTGCTCATGTCTTTTTATGCCTTCTGCAGTCTCTGGGATAGGGACCCATCTCTAACACCTTCCCCAACCCCCATGACCCTCAGAGGTGTCAGAAGAGGAGATGGGGCTCAGTCACAGGGGTGATAAAGAGGAAACAAACCCCCAAACTTGCAAAGAATGTTGCAACAGGTATGTTTATTCACAGTGCCGGGTGCGTGGGGAATAATTCCTCCAATCACGCACACCCATGGCCTTTGTTCAGCTCCTTTTATGCAGTATGATGTTACACATGCATTAGCTGTGTTACATATGCATTAGCTGTGTCAGCAAATTGCAGAAAAGTGGGAAGGGAACTCATTAACATCCACCACTCCTATAACTCCGCCTTGGAACGCCCCCTTGGGGTTTTTTTTCGGGGGTCTTTTGGATGAAGTAAGAAGTCTTCCTCAGCTTAAACTTTCTACCTTTGCTAAGAACTGCTGAGTTGGCACTGTCCAATTAACTCAAAACTAGTGTCATCTCCAGGAGCTTCTCTTTATCAACCTTCAAGGTCCCTTCTCTTGAGCCTCAAAGCCCCTTACCAAACTCCAAGGTTTTCTGTTCCTGCTAAAGTCTTCATTATAAAATTAACTATATTCTGTCTGTGAGTTAGCATAAGCAAGCAAGGCTCTATCTGAACTCTATCTAAAAATTAGTTAGTAAGCAACTAAGTCTACAATCTTATATCATTGCTTTATGTTTTGATCACACCTCTGATCAACCGTTTGCCAGAGCATGGATGATTCCCAGGCTTTGCCTTGCCCTGCTCCTGGCTTTTGAGTCAGGCTGGGAACTCAAAGAAACTGGGAGAAGCTTTCTTTGGTACCCAGGAATTACCTTCCTTCCCCACTTCTTCATGTTTTCCTCAGTGTCATGAGACCCTTCTTAACCCAGCTGCACCAAACCTCCTCCTGCAGCCTGATCTTCCCTCAAAGGCATTCCCCACACTGGCATGGAGAGATCAGAGTGCCACTTCAAAAAAAGATGTGACGGGAGACCGAGAGTCAGCTGGCAGTGGGGAGAAGGGAATAACGTGACATAGTGAGTTAGAGACTTGGGACAGTTCCAGCACTGCCACCCTGTGTCCTGCTGCCCACCCACCCTGGCATGTCCTGCAGGGAGCTGTGCTCCAGGCTGATCTGCAGAGCTGAGCCTACTGCACAGCCTGGATCCATACGGGAGGACTTAGATATTCCTGGATCTGGCCCAGCCTCTATACACCGTTGTGGTGGTTTTAATCTAGGCCTTCCCTGGTTACCAGTTTGTAACCAAGGAAGGGGCAGTGTTCCCAGTATTCCATACGATTTTTACGTAAATCGTGGTATAAATAAGAAGGAAGGGGAAGCCTTCGTTCTTCTTCTCTTCCACCGAAGTTCGGGAACAGTGGGTCCCTGCGTTGGTCTCGCTTATCTAAGGCTGAGGCTGCAGCACCCACTGACCTGCCACGTGGAACCTTGGAGAGTGCTGGCAGTGTCTGCCAATCCTGCTTTCTAAGGGACGTGGTGAGATTTGTTTTACTAGTTATTTTACTGGTTCTCGGGTTTGATTGCACATATCTATTGGGTGTCCCTTTTTGTTTCCTTTTGTCCCTTTTTCCCCTTTCCCTATCCCTTCGGGGGGTGTTTGGATTCCTGTTTGCTGTGTACAAAGCATCTTAACTGTAATATACATAAAACATATTTTTTATATAACTAGTTTGGTTTTCGGGCTCTTCAATTTGCATAGTTTTTTTTTTCCTTTGCCCTGGGGGAAGTAGAAAGGGGGGAAGAGAGGGGCTGCTACTGGGGGGTTGGGCATTTGGCAAGGAGCCAAGTCCGAACCATCACAACCGTAACCAACCCAGGAGGAGCTGCGGCTGCCCCACCCCTGCAGGTGTTCAAGGCCAGGTTGGATGGGGCTTGGAACAACCTGGTCTAGTGGAAGGTGTCAGAGGAGGTTGGGACTGAACGATCCTTAAGGTCCCTCCCAAACTAAACCATTCTGTGATTCTGTGACTTTTGGAGCTAAATCTGTCCTGTCACTCTGTTTGTGGAACTCCTCCACGAGCAGACCCTCAGATTGTTTTGGGTGCTGAAGCTTTGCTGCAAAACCAGTGATACACAGTAATACCATGTCACCTGCAGAGGAGGGCTACCTGCAACAGAGACAGCTGTCTGAGCTGCTTCATTCCTGCAACAGAACAGAAATGCATTTGATACCATGGCAATCAAAACTGTGTTTTATTTACACGCACTTCATGTGACAGTATTTTCAAAGGACAGGTATTATACAGGAAAAGTAGGTAGACTCATGACCAGCTTTAGATTTTTCCAAACTTAAATATTATACAATTACTTGAACAAAATAATTTCTCCTCTAACACCGGTACAATGCTCACTTGGAGAGAAGGAATGGGGATTTGTTGCATTGCAGTCACAGTCACTTATGACCTAGAATTTTGTTGAACTGTGAGTGTGGTGAGAAAGAGAGAGGTGGGCAATTGGCCACAGATGTGATAGGCAGGATGGGGGTACACAGGAGTCGTCCTCTCCTCGTCTCTGAGGATATTCCAGCTATGCTGGGAACAGTCCTGGTGGGTGAAGCTCCATGGCTGCTCAGGAACTGTTGTCACACAGGACGTTCCCCCAGGCACCAGGGTCAGCTCTGACAGGACAATCTGCACCTGAAAATGCTGTGGCTGCTGGAGAGCCCTTTGTGGACAGTGTGTGTCAGTGCTCTGGTACTCCTACTCCATCTGCCCTCTGCACAGGTGTGCTTCATTTTTAGATGTTTCCCTGCCTCTCCAAAACCAGCTCTGCCTGTCAGAGCTCTCCTTTCTCTGGATAGGTGCAGATTTCCATCACTGAAGTTCATAAGAAGTTTCCAAAACTGCTGAAAACACCTGGGTGCTACAGGAGCTCTCCCTGCTCCACCTGATTCTTTGCAAAACCTTACAAAACTCTAAGTGTTTTTGATCTTCATAAAAGAGATGCAGTTTTCCTCTCATGGAGGAAAGCTCTCATACTGAGACCTGACTCCCCTTTCTCTCCAGCCAGTGACCTGGGTCAGTCCTGTTGGGTTGGGCAGCAGGTGGAAGGAGGCTCTGAGATGGTCCAGACAGGGATGCTGGTCATCATCCCTGGAGCCTGGGGACCAGAACCTACCATCCCACCTATAACAGCATCTCTCTGCTTTCATCTGCCCCTGACAGTCCCCAGTCCCCTGAGAGATGGAGGACAGACACACTGCTGGAGGGCAGGAACACCCTGTGTGCCCAGGGCCAGTGGGGGAGCCTGCGTGGCACCACCCTGACAGTCCCAGCAGCAACTGCCCTATCCAGAGCGGTGGGACCAAGGTGGGCTCCAGCTCTTCTCTGTGCCTGGGCACCGAATGGGACAGTGATGGGAACAAAATAGCACAGCCAAGGGCCAGAGCATCCTCACCCCCCAGCTGCAGGACAGCAGCACCGGCTTCTGCCTTGTCCCTCCTTCAGGCTTTCACCCCCACAGTCAGTGCTCGACGCACACGGGAGAGCAGCAGCACCTACAGGCAGCAGGACAGTTTGTTACCTGTGCTCCTGAGGGGCATCCAGCCCTTGGGAGGAACACTGATAAACTGCTCACCCTCAGCAGCAGGGCCTGCCCTCCAGTTTATCCCCATGTAAAACCAGTGTGCATCGATGGGGACAATGCAAACCTGGGCACAACAAGCCGATCACGTTCCAGATGATATATTGTCATATTTGGCAAAGGCATCTATTTTTTTTTTTAATTTATTTTGTTTGTGTTTATTTTGTTCCTTTAAAAACTGTCTTTATTGTTTTTCTCAGCCCCTTTGTATTTTGTGTTTTGAGCTGCTCACTGACAATTCTGTGTCAAAGTTTCAGCACAAATTCTGCTTCAGAGCTGTCACATGCCTGCAAGGGCCAGGCTGAAATCAGCACAGGGACTCTGCACACACACATCTCTGGAATACAGCCTTTTGTTTCACAATGTCCATCTCACCTGCAGTGAAGGAAACATCAGGTATTTCTTGGTACCTCACATTAAATTCATCAAGTCTCATCACAACAGATGGGCTCAAGTACCAGGGACACGGGGTCAATTTGCAGATTAAGTGTTTCCATATCAAATACATCTGTGCTATATTGATGCTGCTTTTAAAGAGAGAAAATGGGAAATAATTCAGAATACCTTTACTTCTCTTATTTGTGACCTGGGGACGTAAGTGCCACCTTCCAACTATTTTCAATTTCTCTTTTTTGCAAGATAGGCCATGATCCAGCAGAGCACTTTGGAACATGCTTTATTTTAAAATTCTGAATAATTGCTGTGAAATTGTACCTTGGGGCATGTGAATGCCCTTTTGAATCTAGACCAAAGTCTTTTACTGCCAAACATATACACAGTTTCCAGCATCAGAAGTTGGTGAATTCAGTTAATTAGGAGGAATTTCATCTTTCAAAGTGTTTTGTGATATTTCATGCAAAGTATTGCTGTGACGACTGATCACGTATTTTGCAGCTGTGCACAGTGAACCTCTTGTGCCAGAAGGACAGATCTGGTCTGGAGCAGAAACAGCCAGATCTCCCCCAGTGAGGTTCAACACACAGAACTGCCTCCTTCCCTTCCTGTGGAGCCTGAAAAGGTCTCCAGGACACATAAAGCGTTACGAACACTCCAACTTCGGGCAGCGACCAACTCCAGTGCTAATGACAGAAAAATAAATAAGTAGATTTGATGTCCCTGTGGTGAAGGAAGTTTCTTCTTGGTGGCACAGAACACAGTGTCCCAAAGACAACGCTCTGAGGTGCCGCACCCCATCCCAGCTGAGGGTACGGAGTTGGAACAGCAAACACGGCTGGTGCTGCCGTTGGCTGGAGCTGCCGTGCTCCTCTCAGGGGTGGCTGTGCTTCAGCAGGGCGTGGAAACACCTCTGTCCTTACTCAGCCCAACATGTGAGGCTCCACGTAGGATGTTCTGAGATCCACAGCTGGTGGGTGGCAGGAATGATTAGTCTGATTTATCTGCCATGGGGCCCCAACTGCCACAAAATGACCCATCTGCTCCCACAAGTGTCAGAGGGTGAGTTACAAACAGGTGGGTGTCACAGGGACCCTTGGGAGGACGGTCAGGCATGACTGGTGTGATCATCAAATCAAGGACCAAGAGAACCATAAGCAGACATACATATATAATATGTACAGTGGCCATAGATGCATTTGCACCATGAAGGAAATCAACAAATTTTATACTGCAGAAAATGAGCAAACTCAGGAATTTTTTAGTGCCAGGTGTCTCTAACTTGCCAGTAAAAAGAACAGGAAATGTCAAAACATGGGCTCACTGAAGTGGTGCAGCTGTCAGCTGGGGTGTTCTTTCTTCACTTGATTTCAGCCATGAAATGCAGAAGCATTCTTGTATTTTCACTACATGCTGCAGACAGAAAATGATCTCAGTAGTGTTTGGGTTGGTTTGTGCATTTTCTCTCACTCTCTTCAGCTGTTCCAAAAGACTCACCAGTACCAAAAACATGGAGCTAGAGTACTGCCATGAATTCAGTCAGCAGAAAATCCCAAGGAATGACCTGATTTAGGCTTTCAGAGTAGACTGAGATAAGGCAGTGGAAGGAAGGCCCTGAATGTACCCAAATGCTCTCCATGTGGTTTGCAGGCCATGGTGTGTGGTTTTTCACAAGTCTGTGGAGTACTGCTAGAATATCTCCAGAAGATGCCTAAGAAAATTAAGCCCATTACCACTAAGCTCAAATCTACCATGGAGGAGGCTGAACCTCTGCAAGAAAACTATTGGGGGGGGTGTACAAGTTGTTAGAAGAAGAATTTGTTAGAGCTGTTGAAAACCATTGCTCTGGTTTCAAAAGCAGAATACCAATGAGCCTGAGCAGCAACTGCGTTCAAAATATTTACTGCCAAAATTCAAGGTATGTAGTGATGTGGGTACAGGAACTTCCCCAGGAGGCTGCAGGCTGGTAAAAATCAGGTGATCCAGGTCTAGTATTAAAGGACTTCCTGATATTACAGCTGCAGGCACCTACAAACTGCATTAGGTTGTATTAGTCACTGGCTTATACTGGAGGCAAAGAAGGAACTTGGGAAAGACTGGGAGGTTGAAGATAACAGCATCATCATCGACTGTTTTTATCTTTGCTAATGTTCTAGAACTTGGCTTTGGAAAGACTGAAATTACTGGCAAGATTCTGCCAAAAGAAAAGTGTGCTCCTGGCATTCCTGTAACAAGGATTGGGCTGCTTGCAATACAAATAATTGAAAAATAAAAGAAAACCAAGATCTGGGAGCTGCATGTCGGTGCTGCTGACTTCCCTGGTGCCGTTCGGGGTGGCAAGTGCAGAACATCTGGGTGGGGCTCCCCCAGGGCTGGAGAAGAGGCCACTTCAGAACATGCACATCACTTGGGTTGGTGTGTCAGCCTCGCTCAGAGAACAGCTTCACCTGGGAGGTGCTACAATATTGTGGCTCCAGCAGCATCTGCACTCCTGGGGTCCTTCAGGCCAATGATGAAACTGTTGGTTCTCCTGGCTCCATGAACTAGGGAGACCACTGGGACTTTTTCCACCTGGTGGCCCCTGGCTACAAGAAATTCTATATCTTCTTCAGGAAACTCACCTGTAGGGATTTTAAAAGAGGAGTTTGTAACTGCAGTCAGTGTTGCCTCTGATGCAAAGCGGTGTCTAACCCTGCTGGGGCCTGGTGTGGGGAGGAACCTGCCTGAAGCAGTTGTCAAATGATAAATTGTGTGCTAATCCTTTCAACTTGCCCTGCACGTATTCCTTAATCTTCCAGGCATCTACCTTAGACTGCTGCTCTTCTGCTTTATTTTGTTCATTTGATGGTTTGCAATTTCTGTATGAATAGAAGTGCCTGAGGTCATGGAGCTGTGGATCCAGCTGGACAAAACTGAGCAGGCACACAGAAACAGCTCTATACATTGCACATGTGTCTTAACATGTACCTTATTGATGCCAAAATCTCCAAACCCACAAAATAGGACGTTCTGAAGTTTTGAATTTGTTTTAATTACATCCTAGTTTTCAAGTCTGCAGGTAACACTAGGCAGACCCCTTTTTAGATTTTCCTCTGAAATGGGAAAGCTCAGAAACTTTGGCTATTTGGTGTGAAATGAGAACCAAATGTCAATTATGGTTTGCTCTGATTGGTACCAGGCTATGTGAAAAACATCAAATAGACCAAGACTTGCAATATCAAGGACAAGAACTGACAGTACAGTCTCAGAGTGCAGCACTGATGCTGCATTTCCAGCACTGTCAAGCCATAAACCTTGCCATAAACCTTGTATTCTCCCCTTTTGCTGGAATTAAGGGACATGGGCTGGAAAGTGAAGGAATATAATTTATGGCAGTGGCAATAAAGTGTAGGAAGCTTTCAGAACCTGTCTGGTGTTTATTTGGGTATCCTCAATTTGGCATCAGAGTGCCAAAAGGTTTTAAGGACAGGATAAGGCTGCTACCAGGAGGGAGAAGGGACAGAGGGAGGGCTGGGGAGAAGCACCTGAAAGAGCTTGGACTGGTGGTATTGCACAAGCCAAGGAGCATTTCCAGGAGGGAGAAGGCATAGCTTAGCAAGGGCTCCAGGCTTTGAAGAAGCTGGATTCTGTTTCTGTCTTCCCCAAAACCCTCTGCAGCACTCTACAGGGAACCCTGGAACACGGTGAGCCATGCTCTGGGCTGTGGCACTTCCATAGCAGCATGCCAAGAAATCCTACCCTTTTCCCAAACACACTGGACTGGTAGGTTGCACCCCACTCACTGTCCATACTCACTGTCAACCTGCAAGGTGTTGGACTGAAGCTGTGGGTGAAGTCGACCAAGTGACAAACTTTCACTCAGATTCTTGTGAAACGTTAAAACATTTACCAAAACCTGCAAGAGAATAAAAGACCCTCAATAACAAAATAAAATGGCAAGAATAGGAGAGGTCAACTTCCTAAGCATCCCATAATTTGGTGGCTCCAACCATTTGCAGATGCAGCAGCAAAGAAGATTTTCAACCATTTACCAAACTGCACGCACACACTAAGAGGTCCTTAAAATAGAGCCTGTATGTTATGTGGAAAAGCAGAAAATTTTCAGGACCACGTGGGCTTTTTGTCACATAGTCCTGCCAAACTGGCAGAGTTGTGTGTCTGGAACATGATGTAATATGTAAATAAGTGTTTCTTACAGCCAAAAGCTCAGCACATGCCTTCTCCAAACAAAGCACCAGGAAGCAATGCTTGGCTTTGGTTTTGCTCTGAATAATGCTTTCCAAAAGGTAAGGAAACTGGGAGTTGTTCTTGTGCCTTTCTTTTTAGCTAAAAAAAAAAAATGTACGTGCAATCAAGCTATTGGCAAGTACTTCCCCTCATTACAAATTGTACATTAAGAGGAGTTCCCCAATTTATAGCAAGTGTTGAGCAGAGAGGAATTCATTCAGGAATGCACTAAAAGGAACTTTTCATAGGGAAAAGGGCTAAAGGGTGCCAGTTTCCTGCAACTCTCTGAATACAAAGTGTTCCTTTTTTTCTTAAGGATCCTTAAAATGAGCTTTGAACAGATACTGAATGACAAAAAACATTACAGATTTTGACAAAATGCTTCTCCTCTACAACTATGAGTGGTGCCACCAGGAAAGGTGCAAGAGAAGTAAACTGGTAGCTGAAACACCAAAAGTGCAGAAGTGGTGGCATCAAAGATTGATCTGGTAATCCTGTGGCCACCAGTTTCAACACAGCCTGGGACAATTCGGAAGGGAAAGGCTGCACTGTGGGAACGGGACCCTACTCAGCCTTGAGCTCAGCAGGTACTCTAAGAAGACACAGCACTGACCTGGACGATGCTGCTCAAGGCTCTGTCCCCGTTGTTGGCCCCCAGACACAGGTACGTCCCACACATGCCCTCAGAAGGCCTCACAATGGTGGGCAGCAGGAAGGACAGGGGCCGTTTCTGAGGCCGAACGAGATTTTGCTGCAGTTAAAGAGAAGACACCCCAAATATGTCAATAACCCTCTTACATGGAGCCAGTCATCCACTTTGAAAGGGCCAGCCCAGCAAAGTGGGATGGTTTTACAATACATAAGGCAGCACTGAAAGCCACCAGTGCAGGTCTATAATTGCTGCATTCCAAGACATGAAGACTCTTTTGCTGCTATATGTTACTTTTTAACCTGCAGAGCAACAATTCATGAATTCATTAAGTGCACACAGTTGCTTAAAGCACATCCGCACTGCAGGGAAAATAGGGAACAGTATCACTTGGTAAAACTGCATTGTAATGATAACTAATACACTGGAGCCTTAAGTTTCCTCTTGCAGTGCTCATACAATGAAAATAGCAGCTTTCTCTAGACTATTGTCTCTCAGATATCAGTAAGGCTCCCTGTTGTGAAGATGAGAATAAAACTGGAAAAAAAAAAAGATGCAGGTAGCCCAAATAAAGAATTTGTCATTACCGGCCTGGAAATGGAGTGGTTCATTGTTTTATTTTGCCAAGAGAAGTCCAACATCTGGCTGTTGAGAAGGATTCCAGAGGGTGTTATGATTCCACTGCCAAAGGGACGATTCAAAGAACTGAAAAGAAACAAAGAAATCTCATAAAAATCATCCCAGAGATTTTTGTACACCTTGAGGTTTTCAGGGCTCCAACCTTCCATCCCATTCTTGGCTTGATAGAAACTCTTTGGTGGTTCTTTAGGGCTGGTTAGATGTGAGGAGTGACAGTTTCCATGTACTTAGGAGTAGGACCCATGTGGGCCACAGCAGCTCTGTCCCTCCCTGTCTTTAAGGATTCCCCTTGATGTGATGGATCTTCCTCCATGCCCACACCATCCTCAGATTTGGTCAGCTCTTCTTCCCCAGCAGATTCGGGCCCCTCCAGCCCTGTTTCAATGTGAGAAGGCTATAGGATTGTGCAGAGCAGCACCACCCCACACATCTCCACCCCTTTTTCCCCACTGCTCTGTTGCAGATCTAACTGGGACAGAACAGCCAAGCTGCTCCAGGGCTGGTCCCATCCCGTCCCGTTGAACCTGCTTTCTTCTCCTGCTCCCGCTCCCTGAGCACACTGTGGAGGGAAGAAGTAGATCCTTTACCTCACAACTGCGACGATGAAGTCATCGGGTCCCATGACAAGGACCTGGCTGGCAGCGGGGCCGCTCTCCACGGAGAAGTGAGGGATGCGGAGATCAGATGGGAAGGACTGGGAGTCATTAATCAGCTGGCGGAGGGAATTAGCTTCTGATTTACTTCAGCAAGGAGGGAGGGAGAGAAGGAAGCAAGCCATGAGCCTGGGAAGCTGGACATGTCCTGGTCTCTCTGCAGGGTACAGCTACACAGTGTGTGTACTGCAGTGTTCCCTGAGGGGCTGCACTGGGACAGGAGCTCCTTCGGGTCACCCCATGGAAGGAGACAAGACGGCTCAGTATGCCATGGACCTTCAAAGGCTCTGTCTACCCATGTTTACCCCTATCAGAAGTAAACCCACTCCCAAAGGACAGGGTGGCACTCCCAGCTGAACGCCAGCCCTCAGGAAGAAGGCATTTCAGGACCAGCTCTGGCCACCAACCGTGGCTGAACCCGACTCTGAGGTGAGAGACTGGGCTGAAACTCCAGGCCTGGTCTCTCCCACACATCTGGGTGTTCTGCAAGGCACTGACCACTATGGTGGGGCAGGGAGAGGCAGAAATAGCTTTTCTGGCCACGCCTATGCCCATGGTCATGGCTGTTTGTCAGACCCACTGAGAGGGAAGTTAGAGGTTTGAGGAAGTGGAAGGAACCCTCAGGTTCAAGCTGGATCCAGCAAACCTCTGTGTGAGGACATCCTGTGACCCATCCCCAGAGCCCCAGGGCTGTGATCTTTGTGGAAGACTGAGCCCTGAGAGGGCACTCAGAGACTGACCTTTCCTCAGTAAAACAGAAAGAGAAAAAGCAGCAAAACCAGAAATATTATCAACCACACATCTCGCAACTGTCACTGTGCCAGTCACCTCAGACCTACCTCACCATCCCTTCTGCTGTGTGAGCGATGGACATGTCACCAGATGGGTCTCCCAGGTTGCTCGCTAGACTCAGGGCTATTTTTAATGTCTAAAGAAAGAAAAGAAAGAAAGGAGAAAGAAGAGAAGAGGAGAGAAAGAGGAGAGCAGAAAGTGAGGGTAGGGGGTGGAGGGAAAGGAGAGGAAGGAGAGGAGATCTGAGAGGAGGGAACGGAAGGGAAGGTAAAATGTGTTGGGGGAGCTGAGCCTATCCAGAAGTGTTTCTACAACCACAGAATCACAGATTGGTTTGGATGGAAGGGACCTTAAAGACCATCTTGTTCCAACTTCTGCCATGGGCAGGGACACCTTCCACTAGCCCAGGTTGCTCCAAGCCTCATCCAACCTGGCCTTGGACACTTCCAGGGATGGGGCAGCCACAGCTTCTCTGGGCAACTTGTGCCAGGGCCTGCCCACCCCCACAGCCAAGAATTTCTTCCAAACATCCCATCTAACCCTGCCCTCTGGCAGTAGGAAGCCACAAATGGAACATACCTGGCAGGAGCTGACACCTAGCTCAGTGGTTCAGCTTCATTGCCAGCTGGCAGACAGGGTCACCAGGACACCACATCTTTCTATTCCCATTCCCAAGTGGTCACCACAACAGCAGAGACCAGACTGAATCCCAACAGGACAGTGGGTCCTAGGCTCACTATTGCCTCTGGATGCCAGTTCTGCGGGCACAGCATCAGTGCAGAGCAGAAATGAGCTGTTCTGCTCAGCAGCTGCACCCTAGCTCCTAGCTGTAAGCCATTCCAAGTGTTTGAGCACAAAGCATTAGTCCCAGCACACTTCAGGAAATGATGGTGTGAAAGCAGGAAGGGATCTGTTTTCTCAAACATACAGAATCCTGCCTAAGTCAGTTGATTAAATATGGGAAGATGCAACTTCAAAAGACACAGTTTATCCAGCTCTAGGATTACATCACAGCCATAGGAGAGCCACAAGGAGAAGGCTCATCAACAGAGCCAGCCTGTGCAGAGCAAAAACACACTTGACTTTCAGCTCGCAGGTCTTGCCACGGTCATTCAAAGATTCAAGACAGTCCATTCCCCTGCAGGCAGACAGTGAAGTGTGACTGTGGCCACAGAGCAACAGCTTCTGTTATTTACTGGTGTAGAGTGCAGAACATGATTAACTGCTGGAGAAGGTGGTGTTTCCATGCAGCAGTCTCCAGACCATCACACCATACAGGGATGTACGAGGGCTTGATGGCCAAGGAAGAGCTCCACTGAAACAAGCAGAGCATGTCCACGCCTCAGGCACAGGTTAAGGACATCTTGATCCCGGCTGTTCCAGGGCTGGATACTTGTGCTGGCCTAGCACTGAGCCTCAGCCACATGTTCAGCTGTGTGACCCCAAGTAACAAGAGCTGCACATCTCCTGAAGTGACTGTTTTTGATCTGGAAGTTGCTGTTCCAGGATAACCAATAGGTGAAACTCTTGGCCTGGTGTAAATGCAGAGCAAATAGACTCACCCAAAGCTTCCTGAAGAGAGCTCAAAATAGCCCAGGTGAGTAAAACTGTGCCTCTGTAAAGGCCTGGCAGTGTGTAATGCTTTTATAGTTTTTCTTTTACTTTTTCAGCCTCTGGTGAACTTTTTCCACACCAATCTGGCTGGGGTGGAGTAAGGCTCAGGCTTTATTGTTCGCTGGCTCAGACCTTGTGAGTGCCCTACTGAAACGCCAACGATATTCTCTCGGCAAGGACTCTTTTGTTTCCCTCTACCCGAGGCCGGGCCGGGGAGGGGTGCGAAGGGAGAACTCAGGTTTGGTGGGTTCTTTTCCCTCCTCCTTTCTTTTTCCCTCGGAGGGAGGGTCTTGGTTCCTGCAGCTCTCGGGGCGCACTGTGGGGAAGGGGTCAGAACTCGTCTTCCCGAACGGGGGGCTGGTTTTCTTCTGCCCTTGAGGAAGATCCCGTTTCGCACCTGAATCCTCGCACTCTGCTCTGCTCTACTGCCTGGATTTGCCTCGAATTCATGGAGAAGCCAGTGTGGGGGAGCCTTGGGGGGAAGGGCCGCCCTTCCCCTCCTTTTTTTTTTTTTTTTTTCCCCGTGACGGCAGCAGCCGGCACCCTTTGACGAGGAAGGGAATCCACAGCCGGAGCCACCCTTTTCCAGCGTGAGCCCATGGCGGAGAGCCGCCCCTCCCGCTCCTCCAGCCCCTCCCGTCCCCCGGTCCCGGTCCCGGTCCCGCGTGGGACCCGCGGCCGGAGCCCCGCAGCGCCCCCTGCCGGGAGCGGCGGTCACTGCGCCGACAGGCAGGGAGGAGGGGATGGCTTCGGGGCAAGTGCGGTGATGGGATTGTCGCTCGGATTTTTGTTGTGTTACCTATATAGATATATATATATTCCTATAATAACTAGCTGTTATTTTTCTTTTCCACACCTTTTGACTGAAGCCTCTTAATTTCAAAGTTATAATTACTCAGAGGGAGGAGTTGTTGGTTGGCTTTCCCACATCCCATCCTCCTAATGATTCTGTCTCGTTACCCTGAGACAAACACCTCCAGTTGCTGTCTTTTTGCTAAGAAATAATAAATTCCAAGCACCCGATGTCCCACCTGCTACAAGGATGTGGTTAAATCCTTGACTGAAATTCCCAGCTCATAAAGCCCAGCTGTGGATCTGTGAAGCATCTCGGAGCGTAACTGCTTATGAAGCAAGTGCCAAAGCAATTGTTTGACCTCCTGGGAAGCTGCAATGTTTTGGTAGGGCTGACAGTCCTAAATACTGGGAAAATTCTGGACCACAGAGATCATGAGGTGGGTGAAAATGTAACTCTTTTTTTTTAAATATGAAGTATTGGGTCAGTTCTCCTTGTCATCAGCACGTACAGGCTTTTGCTTGCAGCACTCCTTGCAGTGCCTTTAGGTGCTCTGGAATGGTCAGAGCCATTGGAGCTAAGAGGTGGAGGAACTGGATGGGATCACCCTCAGGTGCTGTGGGTCATTCTGAAGAGATGACTGCATATGGGCAAAAGCCACAGTTTGTTCTGAAAAAGCTCTGCCTGAACAAGAAAGAGCTCAGCTGAGTAGGAGGCTCCAGCCTCTGCACCTCGCTGAGACAGCAGCAGCACTCAGTTTTATACCTTAGCAGTCTATTTGCTCCCTCTCCCGTGGAAATTGCCTATGAACATTTCTGTACAATCAAGGAATAAATAATTTTTTCTCTAGCAGCACAAGCAATTCAGCCAATCATTGAACCTCTTCTTACCTCTGCTATCCAGTGCAAGTTATTCCCCCTGGATCCTCTACTTGTGATGTTAAAGCCCTCAAGGATGTTCAGTGCTGTGATCAGTGCAGGACCTGCATGTGGAGGTGGGGGGCTGAAAACAAGGTGACCTGTGGAGGAAAGAAGAGAGGAATGAAGCTGCTTTTGTCAGATACTGTCCAGTTAGAACATTCTCTGAGCTAGTGTCCTTGAGGACAGGGAAATCTTTCCAGATTCAAGGGGAAATAACAGAAAGCAACATGATTTGAGAAGGATTTCTCAGAACATTCTTGTTGTATCTCACTCTTTCTTTATGAAGGATTAAAGAAACCCAAATAGGAACGCTTTTTTAACATCTGAGACTCAGCTCTTATTGGTTGGCTTTTGGTTTCTGGACTGTAGTATGGAAAAATGAAATAGTTTGGGTTGGAAGGGACCATAAGCTCATTCAATACCAACCCCCTGCCATGGGCAGGGACACCTTCCACCAGCCCAGGTTGCTCCAAGCCCCTTCCAACCTGGCCTTGGACACTTCCAGGGATGGGGCAGCCACAGCTTCCCTGGGCAACCTGTGCCAGGCCTCACCAACTTCACAGGGAAGAATTGCTTCCTAAGCATAGAATTGCTTCTGTACCTCTCCTCTTTTAGTTTGAAACCACCTCCACTCTCCTATCACTATCTGCCCATGTTAAAAGTCACTTCCTCTCTTTTTATAAGCCCCCTAAAGCACTGAAAGGCCGTGTATAAAACAGGTTTGCAACATTACAGCTATAAGGAGAGTAAATACAGGGATTGCTAGAAAAGAAAGACATTTTAGAAACTTTTTGCATAAAGTCAGCTTTTCTCCCTTGTAGCTCAAGTTTGGGAACTGTGTTCAGACGTAGGTGCTGGCCTATGATCCAGCTTCTTATGGAGAAGATGGACCATGTTGCATTGTCACACTTTAACACTATCAAAATACCACTGGTCACTATCATGGGAAAGAACATTTCAAAGTGCTGAAAACCTCCCGAACCCACAGCACATCACTGTCAGCAGGTAAGAGCAGGAAGCTGCACAGAAGGACTTTCTGCAGACACCTCAGCACAGCTTTGACTTCAGCTCTTGTTAAATGCTGTTGGCACCTCCTGCCAGGTGAAGCAAACATTTACCTGGAGCTGCATGACAATGGGTCAGAGTTTACCTCGATAGACTGTGTGGATGGGATCCTCCACTGTGACACTGTAATTGCTGAAGTCTTCCTCCACCAGGACTCCACCATAGTTGTGGACCTGCATGAGAGTAAAGCAGCACACACTGAGCAGGCTCGGTCAAGGCTCTCTATGCTCCTCGTGCTGGGTCAGAGGGACTCACACCTCACTGTCAAACAAATACCACTGAGACTCCCAAGCCAAGTGCCACATTCCTTGGCATAACCTGCAAATCTGTGCTTTCATGGCCTTGGCCTGGCTCACCATTCTCTGCATTCTCTGCAGCTCACCCACCTCAGGGGTGCTCTGAAGACATTTCTGCCTGCCCAGAAGATGGGGACTGGCACTGCCCTGCAGCTTTCTCTGCCTTGGGTGGCAAGCACAAGTGTGTTAAGGTTTACAGTTATACACAGATCCAGGAGAGAATGAACCTGGGTGTAGCAGGTGGCCATCACTAGAAATCTCAATTAAAAAAATCACAATTCCCACTCTATTTGAAATTATTTCAGGTGACCGTGGGTCCGCTGTAGCCTTGATCTTCCTGTAAGACTCTCCTAGAGGTACAATTTACCAGGACTGGAATTTTTCATGAACACAGTAAAGAGGGTGACTCCCTCCACTGCAAGTCTTCTGTTGTTGACTCATGATGGAGATGAGGTAGGATCATCAGAGGATGGTCAGGCACTGGAAACAGGCTCCCCAGGGAAGTGGTCACAGCCCCAACCCTGCCAGAGCTTATGGAACATTTGGACAACGCTCTCAGGCATATGGTGGAATTGTTGGGGTGTCCTGTGCAGAGCCAAGAGTTGGACTTGATCCTTGTAGGTCACTTCCAATGTAAGATGTCTGTGATTCCATGATTCTGTGAGCTGCACTCTGCTGATCTTAACCTGAAGGAGCTACACTCTGTCAGTGTACAGCTGCCACTGTGCTCATGGGCCAACTCATTTCTTCTGCCCAGGAGAAGCCACACAGCCTGGTTAAAGGTTCTGCTGGGGTGAGTTGCTGCTGTAAGTCCTTTGGATTGTCATTCAAAAAAAACTACCTATGGGTGCTGTGATCTCTAACCTAGCCAGCTTACTTGGCAGCAAAACTTGTTCTCTGGCAGAACTGGATGAATCACTGGACGAGGAAAGCCAATGGAGGGCATGTTGAGGGGCCAGCATGTCAAACCAGCCCAAAGCTGCTAAAGATGTCTCTCCTACTTGAGATCCCATTTCCTTCCCAGGGAAAAGGCCGGTTGAATCCAGGGGCTGTGCTGAGCCACCAGTGCCTGTGCCAGGAGCTGCTTCCTTGGAGCCCGGCCAGCAGAGGCCAGGGCAGGAGGAGCAGGATGGCACAGAAAGGGGAGAAGCCCTGGTCAGCCACACGCTGCACACAGCATCTCAAATTCCCCAGAGAGCACTTTTTTGCACCTGTGCCTGGAAGCAAAGGGTGAGGCTTTTTGGAGCAGTGCTTGATTTCACCACATGGATGTCCTCCCTGTGCTGGAACACTAAACACTGTGGGAAGCCAGCATTTTGCTCTGCTGCCAAAGCTGGAATTGTGCACTGAAACCCAGAGCTTGCCAAGGAGTGGCAACACTGGGCCTTGTTCCTCCATGGAGAATTTGTGCTTCCCTGCAGCAGCCCCAGGTCAGGGAAATGTGGTGACAAAGCAAGGTATAGTTGAGGAGATGCTAACAAGTTTGGGACTTTTCCTGTTCCTCATCCTTCACCTCTGCTGTGGCCCAGGTGAACTGTGTATTTCCAAACACAGAGCTCACAAAAGTCTAAGGCTTGAGCGGAGTGAACCCATTCCAGATTACTTACCAGATACTGAAGGTGCATCACTCGTACCATGGTGGTTGCAAAAACCAGTGCTGCCAACCACCCTGACTGCAGCCACACAGGTATAAAAGTTGCGGTCGTTTTTTTTTTTTTTAACAGAATAATTACTTTGTTTGTCATTGATATTTTTTCCAGAGCACATCTAACAAAAGGAGTTAGTCTGGGGCAACCCAATGTGGGCCCAAGCCTGTCTAATCCTCTGCTCACATGGCTCAGTTTTATTTTTAAACTGTCTTCCTAGAGTCTGTATCTTACGGTTCCATTAATAACAACAACAACTTGTTTCTCAATAGTGGGGCACTTCTAATTCTGGAAGAGAAGGGGTTGCCACTTAAATGAACACAGCCCAGAGGGGTCTTCAAATTAATTTTTTTTCCTTCAAAAAAAGAGTCTCTCCTGGTTAGAGAGGAATTGGAGCTTTCACTTCTGAGGGCTGTGGGAATGGCCTGTGTGTCACTTACAGCACTGCAGGGACAGGGACAGAAAAGAAAAAGGAGGTTCCACGCATCTGTCCTCATCATTGTGCTGGCACTTGTCTTACATCCAGGCTGTCACCTTGAGCAGGTGACATAGCACGTGGCAGCCCCAGCCCGGTAGGAGACAGGGGTGGTCCTGGCTCACCTCAGAGATCATCTCCTGGGTCAAGTTTCCGCTGTAGAAGGCTGACACCCCTTCTGCCCCCACCAGCTCCAGGACGGCCGCGAGATCCAGGCGCCGAACAAACATGCCAGGCAGGAGGGGCTGCCCATCCGGCAGGAACAGCTCCCGGAATCGGTTAGAGTAGTTCAGGTCCTTCAGTTCACTCAGGGCTTTGGCTGCATGTGAGAAGGGGAAAGATATCCAGAAACAGCAGGGATCAGGAAGGTGTAGGGGACCTGGAGACACTGTGCACCCACTGGAAACGTTGGGGGCTTCCTGCTGCCTCTGGCCCTATTGCAAAACTAGAGGGAGTCTGGATCATGGATCCATTGGAGCTGCGAAGGAAACACAAAGAAACCCCAGTGCCCTTCCCTGCCTGACCCCGGGTGCTGCCCAGCATGGGCTGCTCTGACCTGGCTCTGACCAGCCATAGCAAAAGGCTCCAGTTCTGCTGCCACCACGCTCTGACTGTGGCTTATGCACTGCTCAGCTCCCAACATCATCCATCTCCAGGTCCAAAGAGCCTTGGTTTCCCATGAATAACCACCTGTAACCCCAGCTGCCTCACACCCCAGTGCAGTGGCCAGTGGGCTGCCCCGTGCTGAGCAGTCACCCTTGGCTTCCCATCAGGTACTCACCCAGATCGTGTGTGACATTAAAGCCATTCTGGGCGACGCCAGCTGCGAGGTCCAGCAGCTCAGACCACGGGAGTCTGCCAAAGGACAAGGAGAAACATGCCGTGGGGGTGCAGTGGGGAGCACGTGCAGGGCTCAGCTCCATGGCCAGGGGCTCTTAAAAGACCAGCCTGTGGGGATAGCAGTGGCCAAAAGGAGCACTGAGCTTTCAGTGGTTGTTTCTTCTTAACAGGATCATCTCAGTGCTCCAGGATGTGCACCAGAGAAGAATGGCAGTACATGGATGTGGGAAGGGGCATCTCAGGAGCAAAATCTCAAGCCAGGCTCTGGCCCTGAGCAAGTCACCCAGATCCCTCCCTCTCTATCCCAATAGGGCAGCCATAGTTCCTAGGATTCAGTAAGGAGAGAATAAAAATACACAGACATGCACGGAAATGTGCTGTGCCTGTGTCCAAGAGAGCATTTATTATCTATCCTGTTAGCCAGAATTTCACTTTGCAGAACACCTGACCAAGCTGAATTCTTTCTTTTGTACATTAAGTATCAAAAAATGAACACCTTTTTCAACACAAGCCTCGAAGTACCCCTCAGCTCATGGTTTTGACTGGTGGCTGAGAACATTATCTGATGGCAAGGCCTTGTGTGTCCCAGCTCCCCAGTGGGGACCCTAGGGCACAGCCTGTGCCAGCCTCATGTCTTACCTGCCATGTAACTGATGTGCCTGGTGCATCCCTTGTATCATGCCTGGCACCCCCACGAGCAGACCTGGCTGTAAAATAGGAAGGACAAAAAGGAAGAGTGGTCTCCTTTCCATGAGGACATAGGACATGGTCCCCAAATGCAAGCCAAGGAGATGCAAGTCATGCTCACTTTGGAACTATCTGCATAGTTAGGAAAGAGGAAGAGGTCTGTAACAACACAATTAGGGAATAAAAGGTTTTGGAAGGAAAGAGTCAAATTCAATCCTGTTCTCAACCCAGTTTGGTCAGGAGAAATAACTCAGCAGGACGATTTGGGATCATGCTCCTTCTTGGAGCTCTTGTTCTCCTGGTTCTCCCCTGCCAGAGGGACATGCCTCTTTACTCCCCAAGCCCTGCAGGCACTTTGGGGCTGATAAGGCAGTATTTCCCCTGGATTTCCTATGCCTGTAAGGCCCAAGAACTCTGATGGTGAGAGGCCTCCTGCTGCTTTGCTGGGCATCTGCCCTCAGCCTGAGGGTTGCCGGGAGGAGAGCTGGAGACTGCAGCCCTGAAGGGATGGCTGTGGGACACTGGTCCTCACCTTGGTGTCCTGCTGCAGGTCCCCTTCCAAAGGGATGCCCAGGGGAGCCACCTCACGGAAGTCAATCACCCAGCTCCTGTTCTTCCGGATGTCGTGGACCAGCATCACCCCACCCCTGCAGAGAGAGGGGGGTCAGGGCCTGGCACCAGCTGTTCCTGCAACAGCTGCTGCCCTAGCCAAAGTGAAGAGTGTGGGTGCCACCGGGGCCAGTGTGACAGGTCACTGTGACAGGTCACTGTGGCAGGTCACCAGCCCCAGCTGGTGTGGGGAATGCTGCTGTCCTTCCCCAGAGCTCACACCAGGACACCCAAAGCAGAGCCAGTGTGGGATGCAGGCTGCCCTGTGCTGAGCTTGGTGAGGTTGGATCAGTCCCCGCCAGCCTGGCCAGGGAGCCACTGGCTCTGTTCCACTGCCAGGTGGGGACAATCTGGGATTTTCTTTCTAATATGAGCAGTTTTAGAACAAAAGAGGGTGTTTGTTTACACCAGCAATGGGTGGTGCACCTGGAGCAGGTATCAGATGGCCATGGTTTATGCAACTCTGCTGAGCCCTCCTGCAGAGCCAGGAGCATAAGGCTCACGTAGATGCCACCCTGGGGATGAGGGCTGGAAGAAGGCCATCCATCACTGCCACGCCTCCCTGTCAGCTGCCTAGAGCTGGTATCAGACACTGATCTCAGGAGCACAGTTTATGGAGGGGAGAACTCCGGCTCTGAAAGCACTGGAACTGAGCCTGGGGCATTGCCCGCTCCCGGCACACTCACAGTGGGGCTCATCAGGCCTCTTGAGCCTCAGGCTTCCTGGCAGCCACTATGGCAGACAGAGCTTTTCCCTCCCTGGGGGTCTCTGTCCTTCACTGTCAACGAGGTGCACAGGAAGGGTCCCTGTCCCTGTGCAGATGAGGACACATTCACCACCTGATGTCAGAGACCTACTACTACATGCTGGACCTCGTGCTGCCATGAAGGCATTTCTCAGCTGGAGAGGGACTTTTCACAAGATAGTGACAGGACAAGGGGGAATGGCTTTAAACTGACAGAGAGCAGGGTTACATTAGATATTTGGAAGAAATTCTATCTATGAGGGTGGAGAGGCCCTGGCACAGGTTGCCCAGAGAAGCTGTGGCTGCCCCATCCCTGGAAGTGTTCAAGGTCAGGTTGAACAGGGCTTGGAGCAACTTGGGCTAGTGGAAGGAGTACCTGCCCATGACAGAGGGATGGAATGAGAAGAGCTTTAAGGTCCCTTCCCATTCTGGGATTCCATGAAACCACTTCCTTGAGGACAACTGCAGCTGACAGCACAGGGCGAGTGACCAACACTTACCCTCCGAGCCCCGAGGTGTGGGGGTTGACGATGCCTGCGCAGAGGGCCGAGGCGATGGCCGCGTCCACCGAGGAGCCCTGCCTGGCCAGCACCGCCGTGCCCAGCGCCGTGCAGGGCGCAGCGTCCGTCACCACCGCGCCGCGGTGGAAGAGCTGCCGGAAGAGCAGAGCGGTTGTGCCCAGGGAGTGGTGCCAGCACAGCCCAGACCTTCACTCAGCAATGTGGCACCCAAAGCCTCAGGCCAGTGCCAAGGTCGTGGCTGATCCGCATTTTAAGGTGCCTCCAAATGCTGGTGGGAGCCACACGTCCCTTGGCACACCACTGCTCCAGGATAGCTGTGTGCAGACACACTGTCAGCTCAAACAACTCACAACAGCAGTCAAGCTAAGCTGGGGAAGCCACAACTCCGTCTCCCACAACTCCAGAGCAGGGTCAGACTAATCCTCAAGAGCAATGGGTGGCCAATGGGTGCTGTCACTGTGCTGCAGCCAGGAGGTCACTGGGAATGGGAATACAGCTACTAAGAATGCAGCGTCACCCTTAGCACCGTGATTTGCTCTCATCCTTCCCTGCTACCAGCACCAGTGCTAATGCAATCACAGGATGTTTTAAAAGCTTGATTTTAACCCTGTGGTACAAAGGTGATGGTGACTACTGGCTGCCCATGCCCCTTCCCAGGCTGCAGTACTTGGCAGATATTCTGCAGGAAGATCCAAGCCCATGGCCAATGCTGCCTTTCCTCTGCAATCAAGCACTGGGCTGTGGGACACATTAGCAGAAGGTTCATTTCTGTTTTCAGTTACTTCCCTGCTTGGTCCTGGATGGATCTTCCAGAGGTGAACGCGGGCATTTATGCTCATAATCCATAAAACTCTCTCCAAGTAGACAAGATGCCTACTGTCTAAATAAGGATTGTTTTGGGAAAACTCTCACACCAGACTCAAACCCCAGCTGGAGTTGTGGCAGTGGGGTTGTCTGTTCCCCCCCAGCAGCACCCCCAAACAGCCCCCCACACCCCAGCCACGGGGCAGGCACTGAGCCCAGCTTGGCTCTCCAAGCACAACCTCCAGGTGCAGGAAAACGTTTTTGAGACAAATTGGGGTAGAGACTCAGTACCCAGGGCCTTGCTGACACTGACTGTGGCTCACCAGCACTCACCCCGCCAAACTGTGGACAGGAGGAAATTTAGGGAGCTTCTTCTATTTTTGGAGCCAAAGCCCAACTATAAAGCCACGGTTTTGTCTTACCTGAGGGTCCCCAAAATAGATCTGCATGATGAGGGCCACCGTGACACCTGTGGCGAAGGTCAGGCAGGCGGTGATGATGACAGTCAGCCCATCCTGCCGGCAGCTGCAGTCTCCAGAGAAAGGGTCCTTGCTGGTCTCCTGAAGAGGGGACACGTCCTGGCTTCCCATCTCCGAGGAGGATGAGGGCAGGCGCTGGAGACGCGCAGACTTGAGAAAGGAGTCTGGGTCTTTGTGGGCAGCAGGGACAAAACAAATGTGAGTTATTGAGCAACTCAGGACTCTTATTGCAGTGTTTACCCAGCACTAATGTTACACGGAGCCCCTTCCAGCATGGCTATCACCTTCCCTCCTGATCACAGCTCTCAAGAGCCTTTCTGGCTCAGATGCTGCTTTCGGTCATTTTACTGATCCCTTGGTTTAGGCTCTAGTTATTCCAAACTGACTTCCTGGAGATTAAGAGGGACAAAAAACCCCTGAATTTTGCTCCATTTCAGTCCATTCATCAGTCTTCAGTGATGGGCCCACAGTTACTGCTCCGCTTGAAGGGGTTCTTAGCAATGACTTACAAAGAGGTCTCTGAAATGCAGCAGGACTGAAGAAAAGGAAATTAGATATTTTAAAAAATCCAGCAGCTTTACATGGAGCTGTGTTTCAGCTAAAGCAACTGAGTAAAACAGAGGCAAAGCAAAACGTGGCCTGGACACAGAAAATACCTCTAGGGAAGCATGGTGAGGGCAGAGAGGAGCAAACCTGCATACTGGAGGCCTCAGGACATTCACCCGCTCCGATGGCAGAAAGGACTCTGCTTTAATTCCTTGCTTCCTCTGGCAGATGAGGCCCACTGTGAAATGAAGCCACTCGCCCCAGCGCTTGGCTCCAAGATGGCAAAGTAGTGGGGCTGGGGTTTGCTGGGCAACAAACACAGCTCATCAGGATGAAAAAGTCTCTTTTTTGCTCTGAAAGGTGCCTTGAATCTCTGCGAGTGTCAGCTGCTGCCTTCATGGCCAGGAGGACACCTGAGCATGCCCTGCCTATCCCCCATCACTGCCGGGCACAAGGAGCTGCCGGGGCAGCTGCGAGGACAGGCCCATCCCTGCCAGGCATTGAAAGGACCAAGTAGCTCAGGGCACCATCCAGGGCTCCTGGATGAATCCTTTCACGGACTGCAGTGCCTTGCACACCTGTGGTGGGAAAAAGAGGAGCACCAAGTGGAAAAGACAAGATGAAAAGTTTGCAGGGCTCTCCATACAGGAGATGTTTCATGGGTTTGGAAAGGGAGAAAGGAGTGAGCGGGAAAGCCCGCATTCCCCATCACCCCGCCTGCCTCTCTGTCTGCTCTGGCAGATGGTGTCACCCTGGGGACAGACAGCCTGGTCCTTGCCATGACATTATCAAGACCTCCTGGGTGCAGCTCTTCTGGGGCCAGGAAGGGAAGTAGTTTTATTTTCAGTGATGCTGCAACCAGGAGTGAACTCCCCACAGCCAGGGAATCCCCTCAGGGTGAATTTAATTTCATTCATGCTATGGTGCTTTAGGAGCGCGACAAGGAAAGGCTCAGCTTTCCCAGACTGTGTCTCTGAGCACTCACTGAGCCCCTCACTGGCTTGTCTGGTCTAAGTGAGCTGGGCCTGCAGCCTGTGGGCAGAGAGGGGGGACTGGCTGGTGGCCTTGGATGGGGGCTACGACAGACCCAGCAGGGGATGCCATTGGCGAGGGATGTCACATACAGCCCACGGCACCTCTGAGTGAGGCCCCAGCCCTACCAGTGGGGCAACAGCAAGGAGTGAGCTGGGCTCCTCTGCCCAGTCCCTCCAGGACACCAGCCCTCTGCTCTGCTCCTATAGGTCTGGTGACAGACCAGCCCAGCATGAGGTGACATGAACACCAGGGAGCAACCACGGGAGAGGGCAGGCCACAGCCCTGCCACCAAGCAGAATCACCTTCATTCTCCACCACAGACATCTCACGTGGCCCTAGTCACAGTCTCTGTGACCACCGGTGCTGCGTGGGGACAGTGAAGCCACGGTTTGGGGCCAGGAGCAGCTGGCAGGGTTCATCTGGGAGCACTGGGGGCCAGGAGCAGCCTGCATGGCCAATGTGCAGGTGCCCATCCCACCACCAATGTCCACACAGACAAGCCACTCGGCTCTAGTGAGAGCTGTGAAGGAGATGCGGCTTTGCAGGGGAACCTACGCCTTGGGGAACTGGGGGCACCTCAGCTCTGGAGCAGCTGCAGAGGGGACAGCAGAGAGCGGAGCCACCCACGGCCTCTGACCCGCAGAGAAGGACAGCCAGCTCCCGCAACATGGTGTTGGACAGGTGTGTTTCCATGTCAGGAGAGTAGGAGCCCCTCCAGCCACCCCATCTGGGGGCACCAACACAGCCAAAACCGTATCGAACTCTGGGTGTGAGACAGGAGGCCTGGTGCTCCCAGAAGAGCTGTTCCCGCACTCCTGTATGCAGTGGCTTTATCCCCACAGCATGGGAGGGCACAGGGCAAAAATGGGAATGGGAGCTTCACCTGTGGGCACAAAGGGACAGAGCAGAGGACAAGGGGTGTGAACATGGGCCTGAGGACTTGGAGGTTGACAGCTGGACTGCAAAGCAACCACGGGGACAAAGGGCAATTCTGATGGGAGAAACACGATATGGAGGAGAAATGTTTCTCTCAACTGTAGAGGAGGAAGCAATCAGTTAAAAACAGGCAGAGGGTCTTCTCACGGATTAAAGGATCACCTGACTTTATTCCAGCCGACCACCAGCGGAGAGATGCCTAAGGAGCATCCCAGGTGGAGGGATGATGAAAGAGCATCCCAGATGGAGGGATGCCCAAGGAGCATCTCAGGAGGCCATGCCCGAGAGGTCCAGACTGGAAGGCCAAGCTGGCTGTGAGAGAGCTCACTCCAGGCTGCCCTGGGATGCTCGGTGCCGAACCCCTGAACCTCTGTCTGCCTTCCGCGCCAGCTGCTCCCGGCCCGTCCGCGCAGGGTGACCGCGGGACCGGGGCACAAGGAGCCCGGGGAGCCCCGCCCGGTGCGCGGATCGCGGAGGTTGGAGGGGCCCGGGGGCCGCGGGCGGGCGCTGCCGCCGCCCCTCACCCGTGTCCTGCTCGCCCAGGAACGCGTCCTCCTCCTTGCGGGCGCGGAGGCCGCTCTCCGCCGCGCCGCCCGGCTCCTCCTCGGGCAGCCGCGGGAAGCTGGTGATGCTCATGTAGTCCACGGGCGAGCCGGCGGCCAAGGCCCGCTGCCGGCCCGGCACCGCCTCCGCCGGCACCGCCATCGCCAGGCCGGGTCCAGCCGAGCCCACCGCCCCGGTCCAACCGGGCCGCACCGCGCCGGGTCCAGCCGAGCCCACCGCCCCGGTCCAACCGGGCCGCACCGCGCCGGGCCGGGCGGGGCCGCCGGAAGGGGCCGGGCCGGGGGCGGCTCCTCCCCGCGGGGGCCGCAGGGGCGGGCGCGCCGGGCCCGGCCCGGGGTGGGGGGCAGGAAGGGCCGGGGCCGGGGCCGGAGCTCCCCCTCCTTCCTGACCCACAGCGGGGCATCGGCCCAGGCCCCCCGGGCCAGGGCTCTTGGCGTTCAGGGCCAAGCCGCGAGGGGAGTTGGATCCAAGATTTCTTAGTCCTGCCTCCAGAAGGCTGAAGAGCTTTCCAACAGACTGTGTGTCGCCGCTCAGTGAAAGCAGCCTGTAGCAAGGGGGCTCACAAGTGCCATGTCACCCGTGACCACCTCTCCAGCAAGAGACGCGGTGACATTGCCACTGAGTGATGTCTCTGCTCTCCCACAACCTTCCGACGGGGGCTGCTCGTGAAGGCCCTGTGCGATGAGAGCTGCGGACCGAGCTCCCCTCTGCGGAACAGCAGGTTTGGGTTGGTGTTTGCGGGTGAAGTTGACCAGGCTCACCTGGCACTGGTGTCTCTCCCTGCTCCTGGGTCCAGCAGCACCGGCACAGGTGTCAGGAGGGGCTGAGGCTGCCGGGCAGCACAGCTGGTCAGCACGGAGCCAGAACTGGGGCCACAGGACCAGCCATACCCGGCGCAGACATGAGCTGAAATATTTCATTTCCCTCTCTACACTTCTTTTGGAAGGTGACTTAAAAAAACAGTAAGATAACTGGAAGATGGAAGAGGTTGTTTCTTTTCATGGCTCCAAGTTTGTGAAAATTCCTTATCCCTGCAACAACATTGGCCTCTCTCAACTTGGCACACACTCTTAGTTGTTTGGCTGCTAGGTCTGAAAAATCTTTCTACTGCCCTAATCTGTCCTGGACATCTGTTGTTTTGGGAGACAGAGCACACGGAGTGCTGAGCTGTTTGGCTCTAGGGAAGTCACCTGAGAGGTATGTGTCCTACTTTCTCATCCTCCTACGAGCCAGCTAATACTCCCCACTCTTCCCTGCATAAGCAGCTCTATTAGCTCAGTGCTCCTCAAAACAGGGAGATGTAAATCTCCTTTTGCTGTGGGAGTGGTAAGGTTTTGGTTGTTCCTTCAGTGGCCTGAGGGCATAATGGCCACTGCCAGTTAGTAACTAAATAAATAGGAATAAGAATAGGTTTGTTTGGCTTCTGCAAGCCAGTCTCAGCCTGCTCCACTTTCAGGCATCCCTCCAGTGTCCCTATCCCCAGCACTTGGAGGGAGTCCCTTCCCCACCACTGCAGCTCCTCCAGGGCTGGGAGTGTGTCCATACCGCATCCTCCCCCACCCACTGCCTGGCAGAGAATTAACAGACCAACTCAACAAATCCAAACCAATTGGCTGTGGCAGGAGTACCCACCTCAGGCCCTCTGGCCAGTGAGCTGCCACCACCTCGGCCACGTCCCTGGCCAGCGTGACCAGCCCCATCACCCTGCATGGTGGCTGTGGTGGGGCAGGAGGTCAGACCCCGCTCAGTGAGGGGGAACGTGACTGTGTCTGACCACAGGTCACATTCAGTGGGGCTACAGACCGAGCCCCAGTGGGCTCAGTGGAGCTGCTCCTCCTCAGAGCTGAGGGTCAGCAGACAGGGGCTCCCCCCGAGGAAACTCCTCGAGGCTGAGAGCCCTCACTGCATGAGGGATTGTGTACTCTGGGTTACCCCTCTGAAATCTTGACAGTTCTTACAGTTGGGTAGTTCCAATTCCATTTGATATAATGATTGTGTATTCGAATGTTGGCCAAGCTTTAATTGACTTATTTGGTTTATCTGGTTTAAAAATTAAATGAATTTGAATATATTATTTGTCTCGGTTTTATAAGCCTCTGCAACATTTGTGGACAGCAGAATGCCAGTAACTGTAAGCCCAGGCTTTGCAAGCTTAGAAATCAAGCTGTGGAACTGCAGAGGTGTTGACACCCCATGGAGGAGACAAGGGCTCCTCAGTGGTGTGCTGCCACCCCAACAGGCACCACTTACTCTAAGACATCCCAAGCACTGCTGAAGGCAGGTGACAGCAGCAGCATTCCCTTGCTGGGCCAAACCCCAGGTAACCTGTTTTGGCCATGCTGGTCAGAGCTACTTTGTGGGTTTAGCTGGGCTTTGACAACTGGTGTTGGCGAGACTTGAGCTGTCCCGTGGGACAGCCAATCCCCCAACACCCCCTTGCACCCACATTGGTTTCCTCCCTTCAACACTGAAAGTAACCTGCATTAGTTTTAACACATGGCACTCCTGAAGCCCAAAAGAGACCAAGAGAAACTTCTCTTCCAGTTCCACACCAGAATACTCTTGCTGCTCATGTCCCAGTGAGGTTAGGCTGGGGAATATCTCACTCTCCTTCCTACCAGGGACTGGCTGCTCTTTGGTGAAAGTCAAAGTGACATTCCTGCAGGTCTGCAGCTAGCAGGGAGCTTCACTGAGCCTGTAGGCGTGCAGCCTCTTCTCTGCACCCTCTTGTCAGCTCCATAAAGAAGCAGCTCCTGGTGGAACTGTGTCCTGAGAGCTGTGGCTCCCACAGCTCAGCTCTCCAGCACAGGAAGGACATTTTTGTCCCCAAGTTGCTGCTCCATGCAAAGATCCAGCCATTGGTTCACTGTCCATTGAGGAGAGGAGAGGGCAAAGCAATCTCACTGTGCTGATCCAGAAGTGCTGAGGGCAGAGGTGCTGCCCAAGCCCTGCTCTCCCATGGCAGTCCCTACTCCAGTCCTCCTGAGCCGGAGTTCTGCCTCGGCTTGCAGCCACTAGAACTGCAAAGAAGTGCAAAGCACAAGAAACTCAGCTGGTGGGAGCACAGGCAAGCAAGGGACAGGGCAAAGGGGCAGGAAAGCAGCTCTGAACGTTAGAGCAGTGCTCAGAGTCCTGCTCCAGACCAGACTGGAGTGCTCTGGAATGCAGCAGTGGCTCTGCCATGACTGTGTGTCACGGAGCAGGGACACCTGCTGAAGGAGCAGAACGGTTTAAACAGGCAACACTTGGCTGAACCTGCTGAATTGAAGCACAGATCTAAGCATTAGCTACTAGTGCCACTACAAACACTTCTGGCCTCTTCTGAAAGTGCAGGACTTGAGCCTGCAGCACAAGAGATTTGAGAATCCCCAAAATTCTTACCAAAAAATCAAACTCTGAAAGGAATTCCACACTCCCACCATTTTACGAAACATCAAAGACCAGAGGATACAGAAGCTGCACAGTGGATTATTCAGGCAACATTTATTAGAGCATTTCAAGTATACAATGGTTTTACTGATGGCTGTGAGCAGCTAAGATGCAGATGCCAGCAGGAAAGGGTGACTTAGAACTAGCAGGCTATGCAATTCTTGTGGAAAGTTAATGGTTTCAGCTGATAGCATAGGAAAAAAAAAAGTAGCAGACTAAAAGTTTAAGCAAGTTTGGGGATGGAGAAGAGAAAATATAGAAGTTATTGAGATCATTTACTTAAATTGGCCACTCACAAGTAGGAGAAGCTGTCTGCTATTGCACTCTTCCCTTGGCATCCCAAGGACCTAAAATAGCCAGGGGTGTTTTTTCCACCAAGAACAGACAGCATTTTCCCTGGTAAGAATGGAGGCCTGCACTGGTGGGCAACTCCAGAGCCCTGGCTCAGCACTTGGAGATTGCGATCCCTGGCTTTGCACACTCACAGGTGAGAGCCACGCTGTGGCAATTCCACCAGTGAGGAGGCAAAGCAGACTTGCAGCAAGAGCACACTAAACTATCAACCCCTTACTATAAGGCAGCTTTAGGTCAGGACTCTTTTTGGGTGCCTGAGCTGTTTAGATAAGCAAGGACCACATGGCAACAAGACTACAAGGTCCTCTGACAAAAACAAGGACTGTGCGTATTTTCCAAGAACTATTTCTGAAAGACATTTCCTTAAAAATATCTTAATGCAGAGACTCCCCTTTGATGCACAAAAAGGGCACAACTAGGGAGGGACTGAGCTATGAAGTGACCAAGCACCTCACAAATCAGAGGCTGTGTACTCTGCCAGACTTACAAGTTGGTACTTCTGCATTTAAGATAATAGCTGCCTCAATTGTGTCTAAGTCTCCTGCATTTATTAACAAGGAGCAGTCGAATTCAAGAGCTTTACAAACAAATAAATTTAAACACTAACATTTAACAGGGTATCTCCAGGATTACTGTCCTTCGAGACTATGAAGCTCTGAGGTATGTGATAGCAACTTGGTAGTCAGGCTGGCAGAATGCAGTGGAGCTTCCAAGCCTCCTGAATACATCTTGGTTAATCAAATGAATCAATTCTTCCTAGCAAAATTGCTTAAAAATTTGTCCTCAGCAAAAAGCATTTAAAAATTCTGATCGACAGCTGATTTGCAAGTAAAACAAAAAAAAATATTAGAAATGGTTAACAACACAGTCTGTTTAATCAAATCAGATCTGATTAGTACAAAAACATGCCAAGGGCAGCCACCAGCTCATGTCTTGGGTGCTGCCATGCCCTCTGCCCACATACCTTCAACTGCTTTTGAAACACTGTCTAAAAGACAACCATGGAAGACAAGTCAGGATTTAATGACAGATTTCAAACAGAAGGGCATACATACATTAAATTAACAGATTCAACCTTCAGCACACAGGAGTTTGATAGAGTTACCGGTTAGAGTCACAGGAAGTTCCACGTGTGAACAGTCTTGAACCACTTCCAAAAATTCCAATGGCTTTTTAATAGTTCCAATAATTCACGGGTTTATAAAACAGAGACAGGTTTCTCCAGCAGAAGAGTTGGGGCTCCTCCAGGCTAATCAGACCTCTGGTACAGAAGGGAACTGGTCTGATTTCCCCACCTTCCCACCAGTCCACTAAAGACTAGAATTTATTAAAACCTTCTTGATTTACTGACTACTGATTTAACAGGCAAACGCAGCAGACTGTGTCAATCAT